ACTTTATTCCATTTTGGTAACTTTCGCGCAAAACAACAATTAATTGAGCACGCACCCCTCCGCCCTGAACAAAAAGCTATGAATGGATGTATAAAAAGATAATCATCCCTGCTAATATCTATTTATTAGCTGTCAATCAGGAACATTCATCTAAATGTGCAGAGCGGCACGTCCGAGCAAGGTTATTTCGGTCATTGACAAAGAAGTCGTGCGAATGACGTCAAGAGGTCAAGGGTCAAAGTACTTGACGACGACGAATGAATGAAATTAGTTACACCCCGTGGGAAACGTGTGTCAGATTTATAACAAAACGTTTATAGCGATCATAGTTCAAGCAATGTTCGCTAAAATTGGCCGAGGTTTATATTTTTTAAAGTATTTTTTTTTTGGAACAGTCTTGAAGACTTTTATACTGGCAATGCTCCTTACAGAAAATAACACAGGCCTATCGTTTGTGTAGTTTCAGAGTTTGCGTTATGCCTTAGCTTTGGACAACTATACTAAACGTCAGATTGAACACAAACATAACATTCAAAACACATAACACAACAAAATAATAAAAATAAACTTTTTTTTTCAGGCGTTTTTAATGACTTGTTAAACACTGTCATGAAATTATACGATTTTCTAAAACACAGTTTCATTAATCAAGGACATACTCCTAACTTGCGTTACAAAAAAAAAAAAAAAAAAAAAAATAAATAAATAAATTTCGGTATAATTTTGTATTTGAAAACATCCCCCTTCCGCTCATACCAATGATTTTGACCCCTCGTTATTACGTTCTATAGGGGCCACCCTGCATACTTCCAAAAATGTTTCACAATGGCCATATAATTACCAAGTATGGATACATGACGATGTAGAGGGAGCCGAATTATTTTTCAAATATTGAAGATTTGTATTTTATATGTGATAATGATTGTGAGGTGATTATTTATATAAAGCAAAGCAATACTTGAAAGTGCCTGTGAGAGAAAGGGTACTTCAAAACATACTATGCTCATTTCGCCCGACGATGCTATAACAAGTGAGTGTTCATTCTAAGTTGTTTTGAAGAGTTTTTAAGACAGACAACAATGAAGTACTCAGCCTGAAAATGACTTTGAGTTCGTCATCGAAAGCGTACGAGTAAACAGTAATGTCTCATGAATGAAATGGATTTCTGAATGGCGGAGCATTGTTATTGCGTTTGTCCCCCCACAAAGATGGTCGCTTTTGTTTCTGTTCTTGTCTCGGCTTCTCTATATTGATCGTACTCTTGATATGACCACGCCCTTTTTCTTCTCCGTGTTCCACATCCTCTCCCCTCCCTCTCTCTCTCTTTATCTTCCCTCCTCCTCCTCTCTCTCTCTGTGCCTGTTTATCCCCACCCTCTCCCCTCCCGTCTGCTTCTCCATCCCTCTCTCTCTCTCTCTCTCTCTCCCCACCTATATCTCCACCCGATCCCCTCCCGCCCGCTTCTCTCCCCCTCTCTTTCTCTCCTCCTCCTCCTCCTTCTCTCTCTCTCTCTCTCTCTCCGCCTTTCTCCATCCGCTTCTTCCTCTCTCGTCCCCATTCCTTATAAACACTTATTTCACATAGTTTCTGTTACATTAACGAGTAATGTGACGATATACTGAAATGGTAGACGCAGCAATGGATCTTCCTCGTGATTGAATTTTGGATGGATATAGCTTAGATGAAATTTATTTCACTTAGAGATTTATAACCCATGCTATTGTATAAATCGTTACTCATTTTATTTTAATTCATTTATCTGTTATTTAATTTTTGAGGGGTGTGGAATATTCCTTTTTTCATAGTCACCACTCCTCTCGTTTCTCTTAATATCTCGCATCTCATCTCATCTCATCCATCGTCTTCTTTCTTTCTCCCTTCTCGTCTCCTTCCTGATACCACCCTCCAGACCACCTCCTCCTCCTCCTCCTCCTCCGACCACTGCCGACTGTTGGAGAATGTGCATCGCCGTATAAGCTAGCCTAGTCCCACATGCTATCATCAGCTGGGGTTTTCTCAGGACAACCTCATCAGCTGCTCCCCTCCGCCTCCCCGTGTCCTCCCCATCCCAGAATGGCTTGCAACCTGTCACATTCGAGTGGCTCGATGGTTGATCAACCCCAATACCCTAATCGTCAATTAATTTGGGATAACAACGTTTTAAGAGCTCCCCAGTGCCCTTACAACGTCTTTTGTCCACATTGGCTTATTCTCCCCGAAATTCTTCTGATATTCATGGCGCTCCATCCGCACTCTATTTGGCCTTCCCCATCCCCATATAGTATAATTATGTTACCTTGGATATCTCTAAATTGAATATCCATCCATCTATTGACATTATTGAAGTTACTCATCCGTGTAGAGCAAATTTCGCATCTAAAAGAAAGAAAACAGAATATTAATAACAATAACTTTGGAAAATTCTCATCTAAAAGAAAGAAAAACAAAATATTAATAACAATAATTTTGAAAGTTCTTATATGTCTCAAGGGGCTACACATTGGTGTTAAAAAATATTCATGTTCTTTCGTCAGCTTACTAGTTGAAAGCACTGATAATAATTCCGATGTGTGCAATGGAGAACAACATACGATAGAGTGGACTTTTAACAATGAGACTTGACTGCGATATTATTGAATATGAACACAGGAAAAAGGAATTATTCGCCCTCTTCATTCTAAAAGGATGATTTGGGAGTAGTGTTAAAATTATCATGAGTATGGTGAAAATTCATTGCAGTATTCTGGTCACCCTTTTTTGTTTTTACATCGTAATTTAATTCTCCATTATTCATCCCCTTCAGCACTCCGTCACTACCCATCACAAAGCACATATCGTTAACCATTGACAAAGAGCTCGAATCTCGCTGCATGTCTTCAGAATGTCCAATGTTTAATTTCTAGGGCAAATTTCAAAAGAAATTCATCACAGCCAGAAGAAAATTACACAAATCGAGATCGATTTTTTAAATATTTATTTGAGAGCAAGAACCGCTGACCACTGTTTTCACCACCCGCTACGCCAAGCTGGTCCGACACCAACCCGCAGACGACGCACGGGCGCTCCGTGTTACGATGACCAGCTGTACGGTTGTGACTCATGACAGATTGACCGACCAAGTTGTCTACGAGTTTGTTCTCCCTTTTCCCTCCTCCGTCTACAAATCTGTTGTATCAGGTTGCCCCATGATGGATGGTATATGTATTTGGAATGTCCGCAGCACTTCAACTGGCGGTTTGGGAGTAAATCGTGCCCTTGGGCCGACCCTGACCGACTTAGAGCCCTTCCCTTAGTCCCATATGCATTAATCTTGAAACCGTCAAGTTCAGGGTTGTGTTCACACTGATGGTGGTGTTCACACTGCTAGTGGTAACAAACATGATATTAGGCAGTCACAGACGGGTTAAATGGGGACTTGCTAGGAAAAAGAACACAGGCTTGTATAAAATCAGAGTATAATGTGGGCAGACGGAGAGCGCCAAGTCTGTTAAAAGAGGCAATGCTATGTACAACGCTACTCGACTTTACGTAAAGAAAGTATGGATGTGACGGTATAGTGAAATAATTGACCATCGACCAAAAACCATTGACAAAATGGTTTACTATACCCGTAAGCTATAGACACGTTGGATGTAGTGTTGATGTCCATCTGTCCACCACGGTACATGTGGCACCAGCTACACTGAATTAATGTGGTTAGAATCCACTCGGAGCTGATTTAATTTGCTTTGAATTGATTTAATGCATTTAAGAATCATTCCGTTTTAACCATATTGTTGTACCCATGCCTTCCACGCGTTCAAAATGCACCTCTGGTCTTCTAACATCTCCCTCTCCCCCTCTCCTCCTCTCCGTTCCTCCTATCCCTTTTCTTACCGTCCTATAGACCCTCTACGTCCTCACTCATGACGAGCAAGCCTCTCGCAATATTCGCTTCCAATTCGCTACTTTTTTTTTTTACAGCCCCCTTCTATGTCACTATAGAATGTGATCGTCTCCGAATACGCGCGTATACGCGCGCCCCCATCGGGAACGCAATCGCCGCTGTGTTGTCCCTCGGGAATCCCGGCCAAACACCGTGGCGCGCACCCCACCAGTCACGAGCCACGCGCCGGAATACTCGTTACTTGTTCTTGATCAAACTCATCAAATCCTTGATCACACATGACCTTAACTTTAAGCGAAGGTCTGTGGCTGACCTGTTCACTGCACGTCGCATCAGAGGACACACACGAATAAAGAAAACAAGTTTTTCTTTGACTGGCCATCGAGTGGACATCATTAAGCCAATTAGGAACCCAAATCACGCCAATCAGAACTTTCTTTATTACCTCTTTTGGCCATCTCGACATTTATCCTTTTCGTCAAAGCCCGCCTGCCATACTTCGATCGCGGTACAAGAGTCTTGGCATGGAAGACCGATGCTCTTTTCGCGTGTGAAATGGGGAGATTATGCCGAAGTACATAAATAATTCATTTTAATCATCATTGTTATAATGGACAAGAACCGTTGACGTTAGCTCGGCAATAAATAAAGAGCGAAAGTGAAACAAAGAGAGAGAAAGAGAGAGAGAGAGAGAGAGAGATAGCGAGCGAGAAAGAGAGAGGAATGAGAAACACCTTCGATTTGATCTAGGGGTTGTTATTATCATTCAAAGAACAACATTAACAAAATCAATGCAGCAATAATTATAGTGGCGCCATCGATCTTGTGAAGCTGTTCCGAGGGGACAGAAATACACAATAGGAGGGTTGCCGATATTTGAAGTTATCCCTTACACTAAAAAACGAACGAAACAAGAGGAAGTTTAGCCTCTTAAAACCTTCAACAGAAATATGTCACTATAGAAAGGCTTCAAATCATCATCATTATTATCATCATCGTCACCGTCATCGTCACCGTCGTCATCATTATCATCATCAGAATCATCAGAATCATCATCATCTTTATCATCATCAACATCATGGTTTAATCAAGTCGTTTTTTTCCTTTGACTCAGGTCTCCCGATGCCACCTCAGGTGACCCTCTGCCCGTCCTCACTGCCCGGCGTAGTCCTGGGCGTCTTCTCAACAGACTGGATCAAGGAAGGTACGGAGATGGGACCCTACTCGGGCCGGATCGTCAGGCCGCAGGAGATCCCAACAGACAGGGACAACAGATTCATGTGGGAGGTAAGGATTCCAGTTTAGACCGACCTCACTGGTTGGTATAGTTGGTCCAGGACCCTGTTCCACAAAACTGTTATCAATAGGCCCTAACCTAAAGCAGTTGCTGATACAAGCTACTGAAATCGTACCATTTAATAGACTATGAGAACATTTTTGATATAGAGTTGCGACAGTTGTGTTATTGATAACCAATTTTATGATACAGGGTCCTAAACTGGAGATGATCCAATCATTTGACTAGTGGTGGATCTAGAGGCAGTTCCTATATTGTTGGACCACATCTGCTTAGTGCACGTACACGTTGTAGCGGACACTCGTCTATTATTTTTCATTTTTACTGTATCTATGACTACTACAATCAACTCTGATGCTGATCTCAGCTCTAAGATCCTCAAGTTTCTTTTAATAAATGTGTACTCTTTTGAGCATTGTCGTACCTTATCCATTAATGTGAAAGCATCTAGATACTGCTTATAGAAAGCAGATCTCGAAAAAGCGTGGTAATTTTAGCAAACTTTTATGACCAAGAAACAAATTGAAATATCTTTAAATACGCCCATATTTGATTGAAAGTTGTTACTTCCGAATCAATTTTTGCCAAGTTTTAAACCCTTCTAATCATAACGATCGCCGATGAACTAATGATATGGAATAACATTGTCAAGACTTGAAAACATCTTTGACTATTGTTTTGTTTGAACCCTCCCCCCTCAGGTTTTCGATGATGAAGGAAGATTGATCCATTTCGTCGACGCGTCCGAAGAATCTACGCAGACGTGGATGTCGCACGTGAATTGCGCGCGAAACGACCAGGAACAAAACCTGGAAGTCTTCCAAATGGGCTCCGAAATCTACTACCGTGCAACCAAGGTGAGAAAGGAATATCGGCACGTATGGGTAGTTCGTTAGTAATTTGTTCTGCCGATATTTTTTCTGGCGACTTTTACTCCGGTAGCAATCAATAGATTAAGGCTTGGAAGACTATTATATTTGGTAACAGGAACGAAAAAGAATAGAAAATTATACAGACGTGAAAAAGGAAGGAGGAGGGGAATAAGCAGAGGAGTGGAAAATTTAAAATCTAAAAGATAGATAACTCGATGATGTAGAACAGTTATTGATACCACGGGTCAAGGATATGAGAACATAATTATGTTTATATCACCCAGGAACCAATCTTTGGATGTGTGTTTGTTGACAAAATACAGCAGCTTGTCAAAAATCTAGAATGGAACTATGTCAGTGCAACCTCAAAATGGAATATCCTTTATTCAGTTCCAATCGTTTTCAATTCCCTTTACTCTGCGCTTTCATGATCCTCATTATTATTTAATTGCCAATTCTCTTTTTGCTTCCAACTGTTCTCCTTTTTTTCTTTCTATAGACCATCCCTCCAGATCAGGAGCTGTTGGTCTACTATGGGTCATCATTTGACCTCTTTTTAGGGATCCCCTGTGGCCCCGTTATTCAGGAGCAGCGAACAAAGATCTCAACAGGTACCATTGGGCACAATGTCAAAGGAAAGGGGGTATTAATGATGATCGATGGCGTGGTAGAGGGGTGTAAAAAGGGAGGGTAGAGGTGTGAACTTCCCACTGGGAGGGGTGCATTTCGAGGTGACACGAATGGGTAAATGAAGAGATTGAGAGGATAAGGAGAGGGGGGTGAGAAGAGACAGCTATATAGAGCACGATAGGAAGGATGAGAGAGAGAGAGAGAGAGAGAGATACACATTTTCATTGTCTAGTGCATGAAACTTTTCGCAAGGCTGTGTCGATTTCTTATCATCGTGATGATTCCAAAACATCACCATAATCTGCTACATGATCAGCCTCTCCCAATGGCTTCAAGATAGTTTCTTCAAGAATGCAATCGCATGATCAGAACTAAACTTTATCTTTAAGTAGCTGATACAATCAATTCTCATCAAAATGACATGAAAATCTCATTCACTGCTCTCTCTCTCTCTCTCTCTCTCTCTCTCTCTTTCTCTCCCCCTCTCTCTCTCTCTCTCTCTCTCTCTAATTAACGCTCTCCAGAATTGCAGTGAGTTATTTGCTTTTAATGATTAATGATGTATCATAAGTGAATGGGCTCATACCACAGATGTCACATGAAAACACGTAATTAATCAATTTTTCGTTGAGTCATCGATGCGATTTATTCATGAGTTTATTTGAATATATATATATAAACCAGCTTGAAAGCTGAGGAGTTTTCCTTTTTAATACAATAATAATTGAAAACATTCCCAAAATCGTGCACATTGTCTCACATCATTGCCTTCGTGTATATGGTTGTTTTGGTAGCCCATGTCTGGAAAATCAAAAGCAGAACGATTAAAAAACAGAAATGATTAAAGAATAGAAATGTTAATGCGGATTGAATGCTTATGTCTACTAAGGATAGAAGCTGTCACCAAATTAATTTAGCAGGCTTATATCAAATTGAATGTTTTGTTCTAATGTAATCGGGGGGGGGGGGGGGGTTGTTAATTACGTGGTTTCAGGAGCAACGAAGTCAAAACGATAAAGTTTTTTTTCACGATGATATCGGGATGCATGGAACTCAATTCCTCTCCATTAACAGTGTAAATTTGATAATCTACGGTGTGGAAATTAACCCAAAACTCACAAAAAATGAGTTTTAAAAATGTAAATAGGGACCAGAGATATATAATTTATTCTCTCTGATTTGATAAGTAATTTACGAGTACGTAAGGAGGAAATTGCAAAAGGTTATAACTTTGAGTGGGATATCTACCAATTTATCAACTAAAATCAAATAAATGTGCCAAATGTTTATTGGGCTTCTACGGACTGAAGATTGGATTATATTACAAAATCGTAGAATTCTTGCAGAATCCAAAATTGAAACTATCTCGCTCAACAGTTTGTTTTCTATTTTTTCCGATTCTGAATTGCATTGACATGGCGCTGGCAACATGGGAAGGGGCGTACCAGGTGGATGAAATAATGAGGCCACTTATTGGTGGGAGGCGTCCCTATTACTTTCTCATTAAGTTTAGTTCATTCCCCCTTTCTTTCCTTCACTCCCATCCCCTCTCTCTTTCTCTTCCCTTTCCCCAAATTTTCAAAGTTCGACGGGGGTGGGGCATGTTCCCCCTCTAGCTATGCCTCTTTTAATTGATATTTTCCATCTCTTTCATTGGTTTTCCCCAATTACAGAAGACACTGTGAGTGATCTGCAGACCCCGCCCACTCCTCAAAGTAGGCTTCACTGTGTCGTTTGTAGGCGTGGCTTCAACTCCCGTAGCAACCTTCGCTCGCACATGCGCATTCATACGTTAGAGAAACCTTTCATCTGCAAGTTCTGTCATCGCCGCTTCAGCCAGTCTTCCACGTTAAGAAATCATACACGTCTACATACAGGTGAGTCAATACTTTATATAATTATCCAAAATTTATACAAAAGAAAGAAAACAAAAACAAATGATGGTGTCAATTGAGATTAATTTACTGTTTATCGAACAAACTAGGTTGCATAACAATGCGCCTCCCTGCCTCATCTTGGCTTCTCTTTGTTTTGATCTTGATTTTTAAAGGAATAATATCTTTTGTAATCTGATTTATTAACTATACATGTTTTAAGTGTCATGTCTCATCTTGTAAATATATAAGTTATATTTAGAATAGCTGTTTTTATTGATTTCAACAACTTTCGTTTTGGTTATTATAGTGCCATTGATTTAGTTTTACCAAGGCGAAGAAATGCACATCCCTAACGGAAATCAGGGGGTGGGGTGAAAAGAAGGGGATTTTTTTTTCTCTGAACGTAGTTATTGTAGAAGGAGGCATTAGCCGAGAATTCATTGGCCGGATCAACGTACTCTCTACCTCTCGAATGCCCCGAAACTCCTGGGGCGAATTTTGCCGATGTACCGTCGGTAATTTATGATTGCGAGGGTGGATAATGGCGAGAAAATCACTCGTTTATGACTATTTAAAAAGCCCCTTGAGCCGGATTGCTGGTATAGAGCATGGGGGATACGGCAGATCGCGATCAGTAGGGGTTTGTTCCTCTTTCTCTCTCTCTCTCTCTCTCTCTCTTTTCACTTTCGTCTTCATCTTCCCTCTCCTCTCCCTCTCTCGCCTCTACATCTCAGTCTGAGTGAAAAAAAAGCAGACAGCTGCGAGTTGAAGTAAGGGGCTTTCCACCGGAGAGCGGATGAACGCCAGCCCGGTGCTGGCCGCCCAGCCCTCTAGCACCACTCCCAGCGCTTCCATTTCCCCATCGTTTTTCTTTAGCAGGTGTCATATTATCAACACGTTCCAGGTTTTAGAACTTCTTTAGTGACTGGATCTCACCCTAAAATCACTAATTAATTTGTCCTTTGCTCTCGGCAACCTCCAGAATTGACCTACTCCGACTTCTTAGTCTGTCCATCATTATTATCAAAGGTCATAGAATAAAACACACACATTAAAGGATAAGAGCGATATGCATGAGGGCTATGGGTATTCGAATTAATTTAAGCATGAAAAATTGCAATAATTTGGTGTTGATGTTGCTCGTGGCAATGTTGAATTGGGTTTACATGTTAGTCATTGATAATGAAAGTAAAATATCAGGAGAACGAATGACCGCTCGCCTGCCTAGTTTAAAACGCATTCTCTTGTGTTACTTGGGCAAACTCCGTGATGAAACTGACACAGCCAAAGCGATCATCGAATGAACCAATCAGCGACTGAGATATGAGTACAGACTACAGGGTAACGAAAAAGCCAAACTCTGATACGCTGAAAGTTTTTTGATTGGTCATTCCTCTCTCTCCTTCACTCTCTTCAACCACAATGCATTGTAATGATTGATTTGTCGATCGTTCTTCAGCATTTCTTCTGTCACTCTCTCTGTCTTCGTCCATCCATCACATGCCCCCCCCCCCTCCGCCGCTCTCTACATCCCTCTATCTCCTGTCTTCTCTCTCTCTCTCTCTCTCTCTCTCCACCTCTCTCTCTCTCTCTCTACGTCTCTCTATGTCACTCTCTCTTTCTCTCTACGTCTGTCGCTCTGTCTCTTTCTCTCCCTCCCTCCCTCATTCGCTTCCTTCCTTCTCCACTCCTCTCTCCCTGTCACTCTCTTTCATTTATTATTTCCCGTTCTCTCTGAGTCTATGAAAGCAGTGAAAGTATAGGTGTGTAATATTATTGTTAAACAGAGATAGGTATATACATGTAGAATATAGAAAGTTGTAAAACCATCTAGTAAAGACACACACCTGTTATAGAACAGAAACAGTCTCTTAGTAACATCAAGAACACGAATAGTGCAAGAACTAAAGAAAACGAGGGAGACAATAACGAATAAGAACAAGACGTGAATTTCACCAAAGAAAAGAAAAAGACGAGAAAAAAAAAAGAGAAAAGACAAGAAAAAAAGACGAACAAACGTCCTCTTCATTAGCTGGTTGCCAACCCCCGTAATCCATGGAAAGGACACGGGTTTTCTTACGGCACGCGACGTCGTAACCCCGGGGCTTTTCGGCGGTAGCCGCTCACGACGGTCCGCTGGCCTTAGGTACACCCGGCTTAATGAGCCGTGGGGGATGTTCCACACAAAAAGAGGAAAATTATTACTTGGGCAATTTGTGTGGCCCTCCCCTCCTTTCATGAAGATAGGAGGTCAAGAGTTCCCCCCTTCTATGAAATTATAATTGATTCTGTTCCCGTTAATACGGACTATTGTCGGCTGCTTGTAGCCGGTTGGTCGGCGGTCAAAAAAGACTTGTATTTAACCATCTTTGACTGAAAAATATCTCATAATAGAAGAGAATGATATCCCAGTGTCTAAGACAGCATAACAGATGTCTTCTTTCTGTTTCATAATTGTTCTTTTTTTCCTGATAAGTGGGATGATGTTATGATATGTGGTGTCGTGTGTCCAAGCTGTGACCATTGAGGAGTATAATAATTATTTAACATAGTCTTTCATTGTAGCCAGTTTTAATCCTCGATTTCATACCGACCTATTCGTTAATGATTTTCTTTAAGTCCTCCGTCTGTCTACAAAAATTCTTGCTGTCTATATCTCTTATCCTACCCTTTTTTGTGTGGTTTATTTACAAAAAAAGTTTGGTAGTTTCAGCGAGCTTCCCTCTCGGCCTTCTCCATATTTCTCATTTTCTGTTTATCTTTATATACTCCACCCCCTCTTATCTCTCTCTGTATTTATATCAATCTCTCTATATTTCTCAATGTCTGTTTATCACTCCCATCTTTTTCAGTATGTTGCTCTTCATTAAAAATGGACAAGTTTATTATGTATATCTATATCTCTATGCACCTCTCCGCCTTAGCACCTCTCTGTCTCTCCCTCTCTTTCTCTTATTCACTTTCTCCCATTGTTCTTTTGCATGTTACCCATTCTCTCTCTCTCTCTCTCTCTCTCTTTCTCATTTCTTGTTCCTCTTTGTCTGTTCGTTTTTCTCTTTCTCTATATATTCCAAGGCTCTATTTTTCACCTTTCTCTCTTCTATTTCTCAATAAGACGTTTATCTATGTCTTCGTCTTCTGGGTTCTCGAAATGTCAGATGCATTTTGCATAGCAACTGGGGAGAGAGAGAGGGGTTGCAATAATTATCATGAAACCTAGATAGACAACTCGAAGATAAAGGAATATCACTTTCTCTTGTCGGCCTTCATGAGGAACTAATGAACATTTAACGAGGTTTTGAAAAGCCGCTTCACATAGATAAAGTTGCACGCCGAGCGGGAGCTCGGTCCAGTTTAAGGGGCATGCGTCGGCCTGGCAGCGGTCCGAGCTGCCGCCCAGAAACAATACCGCACGCTCCCCTGGTGGATTCGACCTTGTCAAGATGGCTGGACATCGAAGCAAAACGGAACAGAAAATACAAGAAAGAAAGAATGGCACGTATTAAATCCGTACACAACGATTAGGCATTTTCTTGTTGGAAGTGTCGAGGGGATATTGTTGCTCAAATGCACCGACGCGGACGGCCTGCTTTCCACCACTGACCGACTCCAGCACGAACCTGTTGCATACAGCCCACTGTTTCCACACCCTTGTTTTATCCCATGAAGGTTGCATGAAATGACCTGCCATTTTTTCCTTTCTTTCTTTCCATTCATTTTTGTTCTTATTACTTCCCTCTATTCTCAATTATGCGATGACGCCCATGACGTTGACATTCAATCGTTAATGTCTCTAATGATTGATTTTTGTCGTAGAATTGGACGAAAGTGTTATTATTTACAGTGATTCTTTCCTGCGTCATTATTTTCTGTATTTATTTCTTACTGTCATTATTACTCTCTCCATGCAAAAGTCACCTTTTTTGTTGGTGTTAATGTGATTCGCCCAATGGCGTAGCGCGTCTCCCAACATAAAGAGGGGGGGGGGGTGGGAGACGGTCCTATCAATTAACTTTTCCCCTTTGCCTACCCTCTCCCCCTACCCATCCCCTCTCTCTCTCTCTCTCTCTCTCTCTCTCTTTCTCTCTTTCTTTGCCTTTTGATAGAGAGAGAGAGAGGGGGGGGGGCAAATTATGCGTGGTAGCTACACCGTTGTTTTCTACCACCTTCTTCTTCTGCTTGTTCCTCTGCCTCTTCCCTCTTCAGCCGCCTCTCATATCAGAACCTTCACCAATAATAACGATGCATCTACCTTTACTATTACTGCTAAAGCCTCGGTCACAAATGCCATTACGAACTGCTACGAACGCCTTACGAACGATTTTCAGACAATAGAAATTCGGGAAGACAATGGAAAAAAGGGAGATTCGTACGAAATTATCGTTCGAACGAACCTTTGTGACCGTAGCATTAATCAATTCAATAAACATGACAAAGTCTCTCTTTTTCGTAAGGGAACAAGTAATAAAACTTGATAAAATTCTCGAATATTACATTTTAAATAGAGCACGTAACTTTAATCGCCTGAGCGTATAATGTTGTACAATCTCAGAAATAGTGTATGGAAAATAACCACAATGGAAAGAATGGATTTGAACACTCCTGTATTCCAAGGCGTCTATCGTAAAAAAGAAATACAGAAATGATAGAAAATATCGCTTTTTGTTACGGTTTTTCCCTCAACGGTGGGTCCGAATGGATGAAAAGAACTCTCTGAAAGAGTGGTCAAGCATTGGCCACACCGTCCAACGCCTCCATCAGACCAATTACCTCATCTGGGACACGTGAGGGGTAAGAGAGGGGGTCTCTATCGTACCCCTATCCATTGCGATGAGTAACGGATGGGTTACCTCCGATAATACCCCCTATTCTCCTCTTAACAATGGCCGCACCCTGCGGCCAACGGGTCGTAGGGATGACCACCGAAAGGGAATAATACAAAAATTGCAGAGAAGGAAATATTACGTTTGCATAAAGAGAAAAAGTTGGGAAGAAAAGAAAGAGAGAAAGAGATATTGTTTTGATTGCAACCAGCGATAATCACAATTGACAAAACACTGGCATTTGCCCTTTTCTGTCTTTTCACGACTGACTTTTTTTTGGTGAAAGGAAAATGGAATTTTGAGAGGGTTTGATTTAAAAGCGCACGACCTGTGGGTTGTATGTAGATCGTGTACGAAACGCACACTGAGTGAACGAACAAAACGAATCTGGGACAACTAGGGCATAGCGCTAGCGGGCCGTATCATACCAGTTTGTCCTCCGCATAATCAGGGACATGCGCGGGGAGGAGTGACATGGTTTTCGCTTTTCTGGGCAACATTGACTCAACAACTTATGACAGATTGACGGGTTGACTCGCGAGAAATGTATCCCCCTGAAATCGGAGAAGACGATCCAAGAATGGAAACAAGAAATGAGAAAAAACGGTGGATGTTTCTTTATTTTCATCTGTTCCCCCGCGAAAACACGCCACAAGCTCTTCCGACTTCGTTAGTTTTTCCTTTTAATTTCCTTCTTCTGAGCCGTGTAATGCTGCCCCTCCGTGCCGCACGTCCCCCAGTAGTTGACATATTACAAGATTAACTCTTGTTCTACTTAGGAAACAAAAAAAAATTGTAGGTCAAGGAGCCACTTACCAGATTTTGCTTCGAATTCAATTAGCCTAGCTAGCTCGAAACCGCAATTGTGAATCCATCATTATGAAAGTGCAGATAAATAGATCACCAGACTGAATACGAATCAGATTTCCCTTCGCTTGTTCAAACATTGGGGAGGATAACACTAGACTTGTACCGCTTCTCTGTTTTCTTTTCTTCTCAAGTTTAGTTGTTTCACTCCTTTAAATTTGGCCATTTTCGTAATGTAATCAAATTTAATGGATACGTCTTTGTGAAGTGCCTCGTTCGATTAAAAGAAAGTTCACCTTTTTGAGTCAGAATGCAAAAATTGAATACAATACGTGTTCTGATATGGGACAAGCAAGAGGCCTGATGTTTGCCCGACCTTGCCCCAAATCGCATTCTGACTATTGACATACAACATGAATAGCTTGCCACTAATAGGTAAACGGTATACATTTACATTTTAAAAGTAGTGTAAAAGAGTGAAAAGAGTATTAAGACCACAAATGAAAGTCATTGAACCAAATCCGTTTTTCCGATAGATCCGAAATTTTGTATCCTTAAAAAAATATTGAATTTTATCGTCCAGATATCATCGGCCCTTTATTTAATTGTTCTTTTTCTTGATTTTCTTTTATTTCTCTTTGCAGGTGAGAAGCCCTATCGATGTAACGTTTGTCACAGCGCATACTCGCAGCTCGCTGGTCTCCGAGCCCACCAAAAGAGCGCACGTCATCGACCTCCCAACTCGAGTTCGACCATCACGACCCTGCCCGTGGCCATCCAGCGGCCCCCACTCCAACCCGTACCCCACACCGTGCCCGCCTACAAGCCCGCCGAGCCCGGCAAGGTTTGATGAGCTTTTGCCGTCCAGGATGCGTTTCATGTGACGCCCGTGATGCCCGTTGTAAACATACAGCATCATCAAATGACGTAACTCTGCGTCAGATGCGACGGTTCCCATGTCATGGAAGAATGATGAAGCAAATCCGTTAACGATATAAAATGGTCTTTCCCGAGGGACTGAACTAATTTTGCAAAGACTATCATGACTATAGATTCATCTGGATGCGTTTCATGTGATTACGTGATGACCGTTGCACATGAAGCGTCATTAACCGACGCAGAGTTGCGTCAGATGCGACGGTTCACATATCATGTAAGAGTTGACATCTTGTCTAACAAACTAACCAAAGGAACAGAGAAAACGTCTGGGTTCAATTACCGCGTAAAGGGTAATTTCCTTCATTGGCGTGATTAGCGCAGGCAATAACGCAAGAAATGACGCCACGTGTGCAACGAAGGAAAAGAGTGCCATACCGGGGATCGAACCCACGACCTTGTCATCTGTAATAAATAGTCGTTTTAAACCACTCGACTACGACACCTCTTTGACATGAATATCGATGGACGTTTGACCGTCTTGGTATTTTATTAATATCGTGTATAGAATTCGTGCATTCCATTGTAAATAGTATCTAAGTAATTTATTTTTGCTCACAATTATTATATTTTTAGACGATCAAAGTGCATGAACATCCATGATAAATTATTCTTCTTTCAATGTGAACTGATGTAATTGTTATTGAAACTTTTATCATAAGGGTATAGACCTACATTCCTATTCCTATATTATAATCATATGTTAATTTCATATTTTATTTGTTACATTTTTGTTTAATACAGAAGACGAATTTCAGCATAGACTATAGCATTGACGCAAACAAAAATAGTGTGGGGGGTTTGAAGGCATTTAATATACTTTCATGTTTTTATCATCTTTTAAAAAAATATCTTTACAACATTTCGTATGAAAGTGTGAGGTGCATTAACAAAACAAACGTACCAACAAAATCTAAGAAACCGGCTTTGTAGTTGTTATAGAAAGGGGCGGGGGAGTTTTCTTCGAGATATCTGGGAATGTGCCCCTACAAATATAATGTTCATAAAATCATTCACATCTCATTTAAATTGACATGCCTTTTTTCGAAAGAAAATGTAATAGTAGGAATAGTTCTACATCATAAGCATTGCTCACGTTTTGCGTACTAAAACTGTCTTTATTTTCCCGTATAGAATGCGTGCAAAAAATGCTTGTTGTCTCTATTTTATGTGTACATGTTGTAAATATCATTTATTTTGTTCATCAAATGAATACATAACTGAAATTATTGAAATAATAATTTTACTATTTTATGATAAATATTTTTCAGAACATTCCATTTCAATGATGTGCTTGTACCATAATGGTGTTTGTTCTCTAACAGAATGCGGTCGTGGAATCAAATTTGAAACATGCCAAATTTCTTTAATTTATTTTTAGAAATAATAAGCTATGCGTTTAACTGATTATGACTATGTTATGTTGGAGGTTAATACGAGGAATCTTCTAGCCAGTTAGCCAGTTTTTAAAGCAAATTTAATTTATTAAAAAAATATATCATTTCATACCTTGCTTTTAAGGTTTAGTCTTTGTTAGCTTATTCCCTAGAATCAAATGACCGATGTAAAAACATCATATTTGCTTTAAGCGGATTACATAGCTTAGTTATAGTAAACTGTAAATTATTGGCCACAGTTGATATTTTTGCAATACCGCCACCTCTTGTCAAATGATTTATAATATATTTTATTTTGTATTTCGCAGCAAGGGAAATGAATGCAATAAAAAGATACATAATATAATAGAAAGAATTGATTATGGAGTTTGAAATCTGTGGTGTGTTATTTCAAATCATATTTTGATGCATTTTGAATTATATATGAAACTCGTCACTCATTTTGTTCGTATTCTGTGTACGGAGAGATTAGGAAATTAGGGAAGTAGCCTACATGTAATAGAGAAGTATACGGAGAAATAGAGAGAGAGATAGAGAGAAGGGGAGAGACAGGGGATAGGGGAGTGAGAGAGAGAGAGAGAGAGAGAGAGAGGGGAGGGAGAGAGAGAGGGAGAGAGAGAGAGAGAGAGAGAGAGAGAAGGGCCGGGGGGGGGGGGAGAGAAAATGGGTAAGTGCTTGTAATAAAGAGACTAAAATGGCCAAGAGGATGAAAAGGAGAAGGAGGAGGAGAAGGAGAAGGAGAATGAGGAGGAGGAGAAGGAGAAAGAGGAGGAGTAGAAGAAGAAGAAAATTTAATACCAACTTAAACAAACGATCCCTGAAAAATCTAAACACTTCCTCTGTGATTGCCCGCCATAGCAATAACTTACTATAATAACTAACAAGGAAGTAAGTTCCGTCAATTGTTCATCCATTGCATAAAAAAGCAGTTTAAACATTTCTAAATACTCCGATAGTAGTGTACCGGTATACATTTATCTCAGTAACTAAATTGGATTAACAGTTATGTCAATAACATTATGTAGTTTAGATAAGAAAAAGAGGGTCAACTATTTTGAACAATGAAAACGCCTTTGATGTAAATATACATGTACATGCGGGGTAGTATAGTGGGTGGTTAAACGTTGATACAAACATGTGACCCGACACTTGACTCCGGTGACGATTGCATTTGACTTTGGTATTGAAGAAGAAATTATAGGCAGTGGCGGATCCAGGGGGGGGGGGGGGGGGGGGGGGGGGGGGCCCGGGCCCCCCCCTTGAGAAAAAAATCATGTAAAATCACGTGATTTTTACCTTTTTTGGGGGTTGGCCCCCCCCCCTGGCGCTCAAGGGGAGGGGGGGGGGGGTGCAAATTGAAATTTTTTTGAGGATCAAAAAAAAAAAAATGTGCTCACTACCCCCCCCCCCCCCCCCCCCCCCCCCCCCCCCCCCCCCCCCACTGAGCGAATTTTTGGCCGGCGCGTTTTTCAAATTTTCGCGAGCAAAAAAAAAAAAAAAAAAAAAAAAAATGGCTCTGTAACCCCCCCCCCCCCCCCCCCCCCCCCCCACTAAGCGACTTTTCGGCCGGCGCGATTTTCAAATTTTCGGGAGCAAAAAAAAAAAAAAATTTGGGCCCCCTCCCCTAAGAAATCCTGGATCCGCGCCTGATTATAGGATCAGGGGAGTGTTTCACAAAGACTAATTAAGATCGACTTTACGTTGGACTTAAGGCCAAATAAAAAAAAAAACTTGTTTAGCGTCCTGTTTTTTTCGAAAAATAGGAAGGAGGAGGCCCTTTTTTTTTCTTTTCTTTTTCTTTCAAAATGGCCGCTCGGTAAATTTTCCCTGAAAGGCAGGCTATTTTTCAAGATGGCCGCGCCGACATTTTTTTTTTTTTTAAAATCAGAAATAGATCCATTTTAGCAGCGTTTTTCGTGTTTTTTTTCTTTACAAAAAAAAAAAATTAAAAAAAAAAATTAAAAAAAAAAAAAAAAAAAAAAAAAAAAATAGGAGGCGGCCCCCAAAAAGGAAGCGGGCGGGGACGCTAAACATGTATATTTTTTTAAATGGCCTAACCAAGCGCTTACGCAGGGGGGAGTTGAACCCCCCTTTCACTTTTTATGTATGTGTTTTGGAGGAACCCCCCCCCCTTTGTTTAAATTATAATAATAATAATAATAACAATAATTAAAATTAAAAAAATTGTGGTAATGGGTGACCCCAAAAAGCCGACCTAACACCCCCCCCCCCCCCCGACGAAACGAAATATCGATCGGCAAAATTTTCACATTTTGGGTTTAGGTTTAGGATTACTTTTAGAGTTAGGTATACTATTAGTGTTTGGTCCAGGTTTGAAGTTGGAAATTCGCTTAGTTTAAAAGAACCAATCGCGGAACAATATTGCCGCCATTGCTCGTGAGGTATACGTTCTTGTCACTATACATAAGAGCCAATAATTATAAATTTAGAGAACAGCTAATACGTACGTACGTATGTGTTTCTCACGACATGCCCCGTTGTCCTATCAAGGTTGTTGGTTCGATACCCATCCCAAAGCTTAGAACATTTACAAGTCACTGACCTCTCCTTCCTCCTCTCTCTCCCTCTCTGTCCCGACTCCCCCTCTCCCTCTGTCCCGACTCCCCCGCTCTCTCTGTCCGACTCCCCCGCTCTGTCCGACTCCCCCGCTCCCCCTCTCTCTCTGTCCGACTCCCCCGCTCCCCCTCTCTTTTTGCCTGACTCCCCCGCTCCCCCTCTCTCTCTGTCCGACTCCCCCGCTCTGTCCCGACTCCCCCGCTCCTCCTCTCTCTCTGTCCGACTCCCCTGCTCCTCCTCTCTCTCTGTCCGACTCCCCGCTCCTCCTCTCTCTCTGTCCCGACTCCCCCGCTCCTCCTCTCCCTCTGTCCAGACTCCCCCGCTCCTCCTCTCTCTCTGTCCCGACTCCCCCGCTCCTCCTCTCCCTCTGTCCAGACTCCCCCGCTCCCCCTCTCTTTTTGCCTGACTCCCCCGCTCCCCCTCTCTCTCTGTCCGACTCCCCCGCTCTGTCCCGACTCCCCCGCTCCTCCTCTCTCTCTGTCCAGACTCCCCCGCTCCTCCTCTCTCTCTGTCCCGACTCCCCCGCTCCTCCTCTCCCTCTGTCCAGACTCCCCCGCTCCTCCTCTCTCTCTGTCCGACTCCCCCGCTCCCCCTCTCTCTCTGTCCCGACTCCCCCGCTCCTCCCCTCTCTTTGTCCGACTCTCCCGCTCCCTCTCTTTTTGTCTACACCCTCACAAATCTCTCCAAGCAACTCCTTTTACAAATCATCAAACACATACTTTCACGACTAAGGTCGTTTTGTTTCATGTTCTTTTTTTCCTCCCAACAATGCCACAGAATGATCAAATGTAGGTTCAAACACGATATAATAAATTGGTTTTGCAGATAAAGTGAACCCAAGTAAAACCACCATGGGTAGTAAAAAGTAAATATTTCTTTGTAGGATTTCAGTGATATCTTGGTGGGTACAATAACCGTTCCTTTTTGCCATCACTGCAAACAAAATTCATGGAAACATAATGAATGGAATCTTATGATAACATCAGCAGACATATTAGTGATAGAAAGAAACTACAACATAATTTGATGTCAAATTTTATTTGCATTCATTAATTTGTCAAATAATCCAAATTACAAACTCCTGAGTGTTGATTAGACTGACATAACATGTTACACAACGCTAGTTTAAAGTGAACAATCACCTGGGAAATAATTTGTAAAGAGCTAGACTATATAATATTAACCACCTCCCAAAAAACAAACGTCATCCCGCATTATATGGACTAACAGATAAGTACTAAGTATGAAGAAAATAAAGAAAAGCACAAAACTGCGCACACGGAACCAAAGTCGGATGAGACGGACTGGAATTCCACCCCAGGTTCCATGCAATCTCTATTTGCATGGAGCAGGGAAGTACGCACGACGCACGCCTGTGACGTAGGGAATAATGCATATTCATATACAGTCAAACCTGTCTATAGCGACCACCCGAGGGAAACACAAAAAGTGGCCTTTGTAGACAGGTGGTCTTAGTAGACAGGTTCCTTTAGTGCATGTTTCAATGAGAGACCGTTTTCAAGAGAAACAAAAAATGTGTTCTTTGTAGACAGGTGGTCACTAAAGCAGGTTTGACTGTATCTACTAAACTTGGTGCCAATATATGCTACCGAGCACGTACAGTCGGCGTCTTTAATTTTGTACCACAGCAAGCCCAAATTCCAGTATGAACTCATTTTCATACATAACAAGCTACGAACACTTGCAAAATGGTCACAATTAGACTTTGATTATTTATTGCTTTGCATCAAGGGTGTTCGTTGATTAGTCTACTCACACTTTCATGTTGATTGAGAGCATATTAAAACATACAGTATATCTTTTCAGAAGTACTTTTTGAAGCTTGTATTTTGAATACAGTATAATCGCATGGAATTTCAGAACTTAAGGCCTACATTACACCATTGCTTGTCTAATAAAAAAAATAGGCTATATCAAACATGATAATTAATACAATGGCAAGTAAAATATAAAATCATTAATAAACATATAAAATACGTACATCTGACCAGCTTAAAAAATAAAGATGCACATTAAAGTATTTATTTAATATTTTGTCATCTACATGATGATTGAATTGATATCTTAAAATGTAAGAAAGAAGAATCCCTTAAAAGTCCTGAGAAAAGTGATACATGTTAATAATAATAATAATAATCTGTTTTTTTATATAGCGCTCAATATACCGATCCAACGATGTGCCTAAGCGCTTTACAGATATATTATTACCTCGGTCATTGGATTCTTGCTTACCCGCACACAATGTGTGCACATTTTCCACTCCCTGGGGAGCATTCAAGCCAGTCGCCATTTTACAAGCGCACACTTGCTCGTCCAACAACATGAACGTTCGTATCCTACCGGATACCCATTTAACACCTGGGTGGAGAGTAGCAAGTGCAGGTAAATATCTTGCCAAAGGATATTAGTGCCGTGTCGGGATTCGAACCCTCGGCCTTCGCATCTACAGTCAAGCGCCTTAAACCACTCGACCACGACACTCCCATGTTTAGAAGATATAAAGATGAATTTACTGTTGATGCTATAATAAGTCTATTATTCTGCAGTACAGATAACTTTAAATGATATATACATGTATTATCCTAAGTATTATGACTCTGGCCCATATTCATGAATAAAAGCATACCAACTTAGTCCAAGTTGAAAGCCAGACTTAAGGCTCGTTGAAGAGGCAAAACATAGGCAGTTTTTGTTTTTTAAAGCTCTAATTCTCAACCTCTACAAACCGCTATGTAAAAAGTGAGCATGATTCTGTTACCAGATAAAAATTATTAAAGAAATAATGTCATTGTGAATTCAATTTCTTATTTTCATTTCATGATTGGATTGATTTGGTTGAGAAATTAATATAATACGTACAGAATAATGAGCTTGACATACTCACAATAGATTCTCTACGTGTATCAAACATAGCTTATTGATAGTCATAGTTGTGACATACATACACACTCATAGGTCAATATATGGTATACTGAATAGTTCTATCCCACATACATATAACAATTTTTTTTCCTACAGTTCAACAAGAATTTGTAAATATTATGGCACATAATCATTCATTTCAGTATTATAATTAGTCTATATTGATGATTTAAGCAAAATGAAATTTAGAGCGATATTTCCTTACCTAAAAATTTGATGAAACGTTTCTGCCATAGACTCTAGTACACGGTACAAAGTCATTGAGGAAAGGCAGTTCTATGACACATGCTTTGGCGAAAATTGCTGCATAGTCTAGATCCCGCATTAACCACATTCTGAACTTCAAACCGTGGAGCAAACACTACATTAAAACCGAACCCTAACCCTAAATTGTAACCTAACCTCTAACCCATTTGCAACCAAAACCATATGTCTTTGATGCAACAACACCTGAAGCAAATGTCGGAGCATCCCCAAGGCTACATGAAATAGCTGAATAATAACACTGAGGAGCGATTTCCGGTGACGCAACTATCTATCTCAGCTGGCTATGCAGAGCTGCCAACTTTGTGCGACCAAATAAAGAAACCATGATGTAAAAAAAAAGGAATTCATTAAAACGAAACTTACAATCTTGCGCGACACACTTCCAATGCAGAAATGTCCATTCCGCATGCTGTTTTTTTCCATATTAGGACCTATAGTTTATTTACAAGTAGATATTTGTTGTTGTTATTTTGGTATAATCGGCGTTTCATTCTTTATGAGAATATTTTTCTCTTCAAGTATGTTTTCATGTTTGTTTTAACCTTAGTTATCTATTGAATTTGTGATCAAATCAATATTTTAGGGCAGTTGTTTGACGTGCAGGTAGGTACCAAAAAAGAAGAAAAAAAAAAAAAGATTGGAGGAAAAAACAGAATAATTCCGGGAAAATGTAATGCTTGGCAGCTCTGCAGGAGCAATTTCTGGTGAAGCAACTATCTCTCTCAGCTGGCTATGGTTTGAAGAGGTCTACGACCCCATGACCTCTTTGATGGCTTGGCATATCTTCTTGGCCCCGTCTGCTAGCTTCTCTGCAGGGTAGTAGCTGAAGGACAGTCGGATGAAGTGGTCAAACTTTGGGGTGGAGGAAAAACTGAAAAGGGAATAGAAAATGTGGGTTTTGCTTGAGTGAAAATGCATGAGAGCAGTGCCATTTGAGAAGTAGTTGAAATAAATGAAACATTTTCATGTAAGTTCATCTGCATCAGGGATACTTATGCTTGAAAGTTAAACTTTTGGGTCCCATTGAATAAAATTTATCATTGATGGTAACTTTGCCATCAATGGTAACTTCAATGGCATACTTGATTTTGATTGGCTGTTGAGTTCTGTTACAATGGTAGTTACCATTGATGGCAGAGTTACCATAAATGGTAAGTTTTATGCAACAGGTCCCAGATCTCAATACAAAACCTTTACCTCCAAAATCCCATTATACTTTATCTTCTGCTATTCTGGTCAGTGCACTCTTGCAGTTTTAGTCCACTCCAGTTCTTGACATTCTCTTCCCACTTGATTCTGGGTCTCCCTCTCGGTCTTGTTCCTTCCACTTTTCCCTCCAACACATCCTTTAAGAGGCTTTGGTGCCTTATAACATGACCAAAGTATTTGATTTTTCTCTCCTTTTCTCTCCTCTCATGTAATTTGTTTAAGCCCTGCCATGTCACGATGTGCAATTTCTCTTTGTTGGTTTTTATTTGTTTCCAGGATATTTTCATCATTCTTCTGTAAATCCACATTTCAAAAGATGGTATTCTATTTTCCATGGCCTTGCTTATTGTCCATGTTTCTGCTCCATACAATAGGAAAGACCATACATAACAGTTCACTAGTCTCGACCTAAGCGCATAATAAAGGAAGCTTTATGCTTGAATATCTGTTTGATTAATCGAGAGGTCAAGGTAAACAATAATACCAAAAGAGTACACATAAACTATTAATTTGCTTGTACTTTTCGAGTAGGTTTTCAAAACAATACACTTGCTGAATTATAGGCTCAACTGGCTTATCTGTACAAAGCCCCCCCCCCCCCCAAAAAAAAAAAAAAAAAAAAAAAAAAAATTGCCACAAGACCCAAAATATGAAAACATTGACTTACTTTCGGCCTGGAGCAAAGTTGACCTTATACTTCTCTCTGCACACTGCAGAAAGCTTAGCAACATCCACACTCTTGGGCAGCTCAAGCCAGAAGAAATATCCCCCCTGATATGAACAAAAGATAAGTACCATGAGATAACAAGAGAGAGAAGAAGAGAAGATAGCAATATCAATCAAATCAATCAACGTAAACTTTTACGTTTGTTCATTTTGTTTAACCCTATTTTATCTTGGCTATTTCAGACCAGGTTTTTACTGGGGGGGGGGGGGGGGGTCAATTTGACCCCCCCCCCCTAAGATCTCGACCGTTTCACTGCTGATCGCCGCGAAAATTTGCATACATGTCAAGTGAAGTGTATAGAATACTATGGTAATTTCAATTTTTTGAAAAATCCACTCATTTGCATATTTATGGTAATTTATGGAAATAAGGTCATAAAATTCACATATTTCACTACATATATTTGTTAGACCCATAGGAACTCAGTGTTATATGCTCTGGCTCCTAATGGTTAGGAGCCAGAGCATATAACACTGAGTTCCCATAGGACATATATTATTCGGATGGTCATATCTCAGCCAATACTTAACATATTCAATTGGTTTTCGACATTTGGACATTATTTAAGGTGTTCTTTCGGAATATGAAGACAAAATTGAGAAATTCTAAAAATAGATTTTTGATGACGTCACACTTCACCACTCTATGATGGTAATTTTTGCATTTCAAGATGATTTCTTTCTTTCTTTAAAGCCCGCCTGCTCTAATTTGGCCAGGGGGAATTAGACCTACATGCAAGGTCACTGCGAGGTGGTTATCTCATTAAATCAGCTCTCAATTAACATAAGAAAAAGAGGATCATGGGGGACCAACAGGCACCAATTAGGCATTGTTTGCTATATACATACCTGCCAACCTGAGACAAGAGAAATTAGGAGTAAATTTTTCTGGATGGACTACGAGTTCGCGAACCACCGAAGGATTGGGGTAGTAGCCCGTAGATTGGGGGGGGGGGGGGGGGGTGGGGGGGGGGGGGGGTACACAGGACTTTAGGGTCTATTTTTTTTTCCATGTCGCTGTGTATATCTTCTATGAGCGCGAGCGCGGATGTCGGTGTGATCTGGTTATCAGTGCTGTGTTATGCTTTAGTCTTATACATACATACATACATATTGGTATTTATTGAGCCCCTTTACATGAACATGCTCAAGGCGCTTTACATTTCAAATACAAACATAATAGTTATATACTCTCCAAGTGCATTACACTCTAAAAAAAAAAAAAAAAAAAAATAAATAAATAAATAAATTAAATTTTAAAAAAATCGGAGTTTTGAGGCATGCACTCGGAATTCGGAGTTGGTACAAAAATGCGGAGGAACTCCTCCTAAATCGGGGTGGTTGGCAGGTATGTATATAGAGGGCGCAAGTAGCTATAAGTAGTGCAGTGGGGATTTAAATGTTCTTGAGCCTATGCTCTGGATCACTTATCATCTTCTAGATGGTTCCTCTCGCTCCGTAGAATCCAATATGAAATAACAATTTAAAAAATTACATACCTCTGGAGTAGAAAATTTCACTCCAGGTGGCAATTCTTCTTTGAGAACCTTCGTCATGACGTCTACATTTGTCTAAAAACATAAAAACAGCAACAAATCATAACAATGTGATGTATGGACAGTACGGTCGATAACAATAGTGCTAGTATATCATTATCATTAGGTAGTGCCATCGTCGTCAGTCAACATATCAACAAAAAATTTCCCACTGTGTCAGCAAAACAGTGTCCACAAAACTTTTGATTTTCAAAGTAATCAATTTACCTTCTACAGCTATCAGCCTTTGTTCAAAATCTCTGCAGAGATGCCAGAATAAAATAGAGAACGATGCATTAATGATTTCGTTTTTACACAAGCACTTGCAGTTCCCTTTGATTACGAATCTACATGGAACATGCCTTAAATTTTAATCCATTTGTTGTTTAATAAAGAAGAGATGCATCCAATAGTTGACCTCAGTTCTATAACCGTCTGCTTTTGTTCAAGTATATCTGAGAAGAAGAGTTGTTGGTTTCAGAGCCATTTGAGAAAGCTCTATAATGCCTGGTATATTTTTACATTCTCAAATGCTTTAGGGTGTGGGAACATGTTGAATTATTACTGTTGGATTATGTTGGATTTTGTTGAATTATTGCTGTTAGGAATCTACGCTCCTCAGATATGAATGTCCTCCAAACTTCCAGAGTCAGTACCAGATATACTACGGGGAATGTGCTTTCAGCATCCTGGCATCCTAACTATGGAAATGCAAATCCTTTTCAGCTCCGAGATGCACTCTCCATCAATGATTTTAAGCAGTCCATTTAAACAGCAATTGACATTTTGTTACAAGTTAAGACGTTATCTCCTTATACTCTCATTTAATCTTAACTCTGTTTGTTGTTTTCAATTAAGTATTGTATTCAGAATCTTTATATATTGCAATACTTTCTTAACTGACATAATTAAGTTACTGTAGCTATTTCAAATATAAGTTTAAATCATATAGGTTTGTTATTTTGCAATTTGTTAAGTGCATAGAGACGGGAACATATCATGCGCTATTTAAGTCTGAAATTATTATTATTATCATCTTCTTTATCTCATTGTCTTTCACCTCTCAGTTTCTTTCCCTCTCTTTTTGTATCTCACTTTTTCTTTTCTTTTTTCACTATTCGATTTGTAGGCACCAGCCCCCTCCCCCTCCTCCCTCCCCCTCCCCCTAATAGCTAAGCCAATAACGAACACTACATTAAAGCATACCTTAAAATGGTTGCAGACAAAGTCTAGATGATCGTCTACGATTCCCATCTTGAGCATTGTACCCACAATGCCTCCTGTTAAGTGATTGAAGGATCCACCGCTGTCCAGGTATTGACTGTAATTGAATCATAGACCAAAGTAGAACCAATACTAACAAGAATGCACCCCATCAACACAGTTTGCAATGTTCTCAAGAACCGAATAAATACAAAAACTATCCTCACATCGGCAACAATTATAATCATTTTCAACTTCATCAATGTTAAAAAAAATAAAATTGTATTAACAAAATTCAAATTGTTGTATTATTGTACACAAAAATATTGATTATAAATTTTACACTGCTTTTCCGATTTAGAGACGGTTATGATTGTAACATACAATTGTATGTGTATTTTTTTGTTCTTATTCATGAATGGCACAATGTTATGCATCAGAAATGGATTAAACATATTCTGTGATTTTATCTTCTAACGGTAATCACTATAAGAAATGTGTCAGATGGATAACGGACTAGGAGGACAATCTTGAGTGTATATCATTCATGAGACAAGGGGCTTCAGTAATTTTGATAAAGCAATTATTCTGACTCTTATCAAGCACTGTAAATGTATATGGAGGATTCGGTGTAAACTATGTTTTTAATGAAAGAAAAATGGTTAGATGCGTCACTGTAAGGCCTAAAAAAAGATGTTGTATTGCCCTATAGGTGCCAAAACATGAGGCGGTCTGTCTTTTTTTTTTTTATACATATTTTTTCTTCTTCTTTTTTCTACCTCTTTGGGCTGATATTTTTCAGTTTTTAATGCTTAAATATTTTTTTTCTCTGAAAAACAGTTTAAAAAAAAAAAAGTTAAAAAAGCCGATCATAGATTTCAAGATTTTTGGGTCGGTCGCAAAGGGCAATACTACATCTTCTTTTTGTAGGCCTTAGCTTACTTCTTCATCATGAGATCGATGATGCGATCTGAAGCCTCAAACCAGCCCAGTCTCAATCCAGGCGCAAGGAACTTGGATACGCTACCGTTGGATACAACGTTCCCCTTGAAGTCGGGATCAGAGGGATTGTCGAAGGCGAAGAGGCGAGCAGGACACTTGTATTTCCGGTCACTGCCTTCGTCAGCTGGTTGCCATGACAACACATTGTAGACATCATCACACACCACGAGCAAGTCATACTTTCTGGCCATCCTAATTATACTCTTCATTTTTTCTACACCAGAAAGAAAAGATTCAAGAAGATAGTTTATGGTCATGTAAAAAATATATAAAATTTGTCTTTGGACATTTGAAGGTGAATACATGTAAATAAATATATAGAGAGTGTACGACAGTTTCATAATCCTTGCTGTGTCATGATAAGGCATTTCAAAATATTCTGTTCAAAAGAAGGAGAGAGAGAGAAATTTAAAGCAAGATTTAAATCATTTTGTTTTTGCCATTTTAAGGCAAAATATAGGCATATGAATAATACTGCTTTCAAACTGGCTTCTATCAGAGTCACACCGATGAAAATACCGATTGAATTTTCCTTATGTAAACAAAGATGAAACCGCAGTTTTCCCCCTGTCGCTTTCTAACTGCCAGTGAAATTTTCTTGCTGTGGCGAGCCCTTGCCGGAAGTGAAGAATTATTGCGTAATAATTAAGCCCGCGCTCCATCTAGCTAGCATGCAGCATGTTCAACCATAAGTCAACAAACACAGCTGGTTATGATAAAGCGCGCGTATACTGCGACCTTTGACCATTTTAATCGCTGTTTTAATCGCCTTCTTCTCCCGAACGCTTTCATACTGGCTGTTTCATCTGTGTCACACCGATCGAATGAGAATTTCTCCTGCTCTTGAGCAGGTCGCCTATTTCTCTTCTTTTCATCTGCTATTTAATCGCCTTTTTCTCCTCTGTTGCTTTCATACTGGTCGTTTCATCAGAATCGTCTGGATGCATCCGAGGAAAATCAAGCCAGTTAGAAAAGGGTATAAGAATCCCATCCCATCCCATAGAATTGTGTATAATTGTGTATTATTTTCCACTTTTTTGCCCGTGCTTGTATCAAACATAAATGAATCATTATCACTAGTCTTTGGTATGTCTAATAAAACAAAGATTATTGAGGCTTGATCTAGGGGGCAATGGGGACCTGCACCCTCGGCAAAACATCACGACCACCTACACCGCCGCGATCATATCATCATCATCCCCTTCACTATCATTATTGTCATACTATCATCTTCATCATTACTTTCATCACCATAATTATCATCATCTTTACAACCATCATCCTTCTGGTCATACCATTATCTTCGTTATCACTGTCATCACTATCACCATCATCATTATCGTCATCACCATAATTATCGTCATCATTGTCATAACAGGCCTTAAATTTCAATATATTTAGGGCAAGGCTACTTTTCTGTAGGGCACATTCCTATATTACAGCACAAATAGGAAGAATTGGAAAGGGAAAAAAAAATCTCCAAGGCCAATGAGAGGGGCATTGAGGCCAATCAAAAGGGCATCCACGGCCATGGCCTTGGATTAATTTAAGCCCTGTCATAATATTATCTTCATTATCACTTTCATCATCATTATCATCATCATCACCATCATACTTTTCATCATCATTGCCATCACCATTAACATTATCACAACAACTTCCTCCTCCTCTTCATCCTCCTCCTCCCCCTCCCCCCTCCTCCTCCTCAATCAATACGATGCTCATCATTACCTGAAGAAGTGCATGATCCAGTTGGATTGTGAAAGCAGGGGATGAGGTAGAGTAAGCTACGAAACGGTCTCGTATCATCTGGTTGCCTGTCTCCTAGATGCTCCGATAGCTTCTTCTCCAGATCTTCCGTATCTACACCATCATCTTCCTTAGCAACTGAATCATAATAAATGTTAAGAAATGAGGATGGTGATGGTGGAGTCTTACTTAAAAAAAAACGATCGAACAATTACCAAACTTTAATATTGAGCAAGTACAATATTGTACATGATGGTGAATCAGTAGAAAAATGTGGCGAAAATTTTGTTAGAAATAATGAAAACTGCACGTCTATAACAATACTAATCCTATATTTGATCCTGTGCTCCTTAACCCAGCTGTAGAAAGGGTACTTGGTTAGAACACACTCAAGAGTGCCATAATGGCAGATGTGCTATAGCCAGGTAATAGTAATAATAATAGTATTAATATTAAAGGCCCACTGCACTACTTGTAGCTACTTGCGCCCACTTACAACAAACAATGCCTAATCGGTGACCATTGGTCCCCCATGATCCTCTTTTTCTTATGTTAACTGAGAGCTGAGTTGATGAGATAACCACCTGTCCAGTGACCTTGCAGGGCGCTCTAATCCCTCCTTTAAACTATGGCAGATAAGCTTTAATATTAATAATAAAAGGAAAATAATGATGATAATAATGCTAATGCTAATAATAATAATGATAATAATAATAATAATAATAACTAGAACTAGAACATGTATTGACGCCCGTGTTTTACGTGGCAGCAAAAAAGCAACTCTTGGACTATCTACAAAAGGCACACGCATTTCCCTAATTGTATTGTGAGAGAGAGAAAAAGAGGGAGAATAGTCCGGGAATCAAATTCTGTTTTCTTTAAAATGATATAACATGGGACTAATGAATTTATCTGCTACATGTATGTGATAACCATGTAACGCTACGTAAGATAGTACCACAATGTTGTTTGTTGTTGTAAAGGAATTATTGGCTTGCACCCAGTAGATTAAGATCATGCATTCGATCTTGTTATTAAAAACAAGTCAGAAAAAATATGGTACAACCAGGGGGGTGTTTCACAAAGACTAAGATCAACTTTAAGTTGGACTTTGATAATGATTTATCTTAAACAGTAAATTCTGTAGATTTGTGACCATGATTTGGAAGTCTCTTGAGATACTAATGTCAGTAAATGGTGAGAGCAAACAGTGGCATGAATGGCCTGCCATAGTTAAGTCCAACTTAAAGTCGATCTTAGTCTTCGTGAAACACCCCCAGATCTATATTGTTCAACAACAAATGAAACTATTTCCAGGAAGCCAACTGGTAACAATAATAGCTGTTGTTCATTCAAATAGCATTGCAGAGACGATGAACAAATGAGAATAATAATATATTGTAGTTGACCATGAGAGTATTCACTTCTATTTCTCTCTGCTAATTCATGCGAACAGTGGATTCATGCGAACAGTGAATCAACCAAGTGAAATCAACTGTGAAATGAACTACAGGCCGTGTACATGTAAATTGCTATTCCATGTCATAGTAGTATTACGAAGAAGCAATAGCAAACAATTGACAACCCGGAATACAGCAATCGTTACTTCAATTGCTTTTCCCTAAAAAACTACCAAGTCATATTTCATGCACCTACTCAAATTGGTGCCCCAATGATGCCACCCCCTCCCCCACCCCCTCAATGTTACTGATTACAATGACTTACCTGGTACTACATTAAGCTGCTGATCATGTTGAAAGGCTGCGAGGGCAAGGAAGTATGTAGGGTCTTCTACAAAGACTACATCGCCCTTCTTGAAGAAGTGGGTCGATAGGAAGTTCAGTCCTTGGCTAGCCCCAGCATTGCATAAGATGTTGTCGCTGGGTTAAGGACAGAGGAAAGGCATATAGTCAATGATTAGTACCGGTAATCCCTGAAGCTACAACACATACGTATAACTTTGATTGTATAAAGCCTTGTTCACTCATGTGCTGAACTGCCTCAAAATAGAAAAATACCAAAATGATTTGACAAAATATAAACCATTTTACATGTGAATGAATAACGTACAGTACAATGTATGATGTAGCTTCTAGCAACAAAGTCCCCGAAGTGTAATTTAGGACATGCCATAAGATACAAATCGTCGCTGTTTTCACGAAGTGACGGTAGTGAAAAAAAATTGCATTCACTTTGCGTTACGATTTTCCTCACTACCGTCACTTCGTGAAAACAAGGACGAAATATACCTACGGAGGTGTCATGGTATAGTGTTTTATTCACCTCAATCCAAGGGTTGAGGGTTCAACTCCCAGCCGAGCACTAATGTCCTTTTGCAAGGTATTAATCCACTTTTGCTACTCTCCACCCGGGAGTTAATGGTACCCGATTTCCCAGAGGGCTTCATATTTGGCCGCCAGCTATGACCGGGGTATTAATGTTGGAGCCCCAGGAGCATTATGGCCTCACGGACCTCGGCCATTTACCATTGTTACTATTATTATCATCAGTAATATTAGGGCGCGTTCATGCTTGATTTTGACGGCCAGAATCAGGCATCTGTTACGCGTTTAGTCTAAAACACGATTGCGTTCATGCTCACTTTTGTAGATTCACCAAAAAAACGGCGATCACGATCACCGATCGTAAACTCACAAAAAGATGCGTTTACAATTTGTAAACGCGTTTAAATGGGGTCAACGCACTGACCTCTAGTGGGTCTACGTAGCATGCACAGTGCAGGTTGCGAATCCAGCTGCAAGGCCAATTAAGGCCACACAAGGAGAATGCCTGGGGGAGCCAGAGAAGTAAGCATGAACAGTACTTCGTGGAACTGCGATCACGATGAGCGTTTCAGATCGCTCATTCTGCCTTCAAAATCAAGCATGAACGCGCCCCTAGATATGTGAAGCGCATTAAGCTTTATGATAGGCCAGCTTCTTTGTGAGACTTGAGTTTTAAAGGCACTATAGGACAGTTTTGGGAGCGCCCCCTCCCAAAAAAATGAAATGGAAGCTCTTATTAAATTACCAATCATGTGAAAGAATATTTTTTGACTAATATGTGATGCAAATTTTGCTGAGGAACCGCCTACTAATAGATATATTTGGTAAATTATTATATCTATCCGGACTGAATAGATATCGCGCATGTGTCGTGTAGTCCCATATACATCTTTCTGTGTACAGTGCTTGTACTGTAGCTTTACCAAGACTGGGCCAAATTTATTATCATTTTGATGATTCCAGAACCTTGCAGTACACACCAATACTGATATGCTAGATGATCAACCTTTTCTGATTGATTCCACAACGTTTCTTTCACAATTCAATCGCATGATCAGAACTAGTGTTTACCTTTAACAATTCTGAAACATCACTGGGGGCTTGACCAATTACCTCTTTATAGACAATCAACAGAATCATGCTTACTGGGAGCCAGTGCATATAAAATATAAAACTGCTGAATCAGATGACAGAAGTTTCCCGCACTAACATATTTGCAAAAGCTGCAAATCGGGTCAAAAGTACGAAGAAAGCAAATAATCAAAACACACAGCCCCCCCCCTAATCTGAATAATAAAAAAGAAATTAAGTTAACTCATTGCCTACTGAATTATTTCATTTCCATAAGCTCTGATATAGGAGCTCCCACGTTGCCATACAATATGGATACATATTTACCTACATAATCATCATATTAAAATTAAATGAAATAAAAACTTTAAGTGTCACTTACAGGTGAGCTTATCAGTTGTGTGTGCCATTGGTTCATAACTGATTGTTAAAATTTATTGAGATAAATTATTCAGATTGATCCAGGAATTCACCATGGTACCAACTACCAATATTAATTGAATATGTTGAATAACCGGGAGGGGGAGGGGGTGCTGCATATGCTGGCTAGATTTTTACAGACGTGTATCAATCAGATATGATTATTTACGTCTGAGGACCGACTTGTAACGTCGCCATCCCAAAAGACGCGACTCAGTTTTGAACCGGGGTCGCGCCTGAGCCCTTCTGTAGGCGGAGACAGAGAGCTGACCAAGTGAACATGCCGCTAGACCAACTCACATCTCCCTATACAGGCTGGATATGCCACTTGTTCTAATATGGACTTTGCATCCTAGAATGTGTAAACACATTTGTTCTGCACACGAGGCAATTTTGATTTACCTGTGTGCTGCAGACCATTGTAACAAATACACTTTACAAGTACATGTACATGTACATCAATATCAGGGCCATGTCAAAAACTGTCAACCAATTCAAAACTTGTCAAGACACATTTATTCAAAATTGCTTTTGATGATTAACTTCCTCTGTTCACATTGATGTATATTTCATATGTATTGTAATTTGTAGGTTTGTTTGCAACTTTTTGTTTTGTTTATCATCGTATTTTGTTTGTTATAATGCTTAGAGACTTTGGTGGTAACCGCTTTATAATCATTGTTTTTATTATTATTATTATTATTGTCTGCAGAAAAAAAAATCAATGTAGTTTTCCTTTGTTGACAGAAGAATTAAAACAAAAAAATGAATAAATCTGTGATATCAGAGCGACAAGTGAGACAAAAGATAGAAATAGCTGTAGCTTACCTGTGAACAGGGCTCTGGTACCTTCTTGTAAGAAACTTGGCCATCTGAATACGAAACGTGGGGTCACCTTGCAATGATCCATACTGAAGGAGATCGCAATCATCGGCTAACTCTTCAGTCTAAAATTAAACAATTTAATACAACTATTATAATGATGATGATATTACTATGAAGAAGAATACGACTAAGGAGAAGGAGAAGAAGAGGAAGAATGATTATGACTTTATTGATAATAATCAAAACAACAATAATAATAATATTTCCATTTCTACTGGCAGCTAGTAGACATAATTAATCTACAGTTCATGTACAGTTTTGTGGCAAAAAAAAAGGATATTGTTGTGGTACGAGATCACTGGGTCTTTTATGCATGATTTCTTGTGACTTTTAGAGTAAACATCTGCAAAGAACAATTATAACAGCCATACAAGTATGATACAACCCCTACGCAAGGACCCTTACAACCGCACAACAATCTTGGTGCTTTGCCTAGCGAAAAAAGTCTGAGAATGTGTGTAGGCTTATAGCATACACACAGTCCTCATGGGTTTAACCATGGATCCATTACGGATGGACATTCAACGTGATTCTTTCTTTGATCCAATGATAGTCACCGCCTTCTGATTATTATTTTTTTTGGTCGGGGGGGGGGGGGGGGGGCGGGGCCGGCACGTGCCCCTGTGCCCCCCCCCTGGATCTGTCCCTGGATCCGTCCCTGGTATTATTACTGATTCGCACTTTTTCGCATACACCCATGACCTTATAAAACAATTAGAAGGCCATGATCTTTATAAGCCCTGTGCGTTGTAACTCTGGAATATTATGAAGAAAGTGGGGGAAACAGGATTTTAAATCACAACCAATCCAAATATAAGCTCTATCTGGTAATATTTTTCAAAATAAAATACAATACACGGAACATCAATTTCCGATTATAAACCAGAACTGCACATCGATTTTACATAATTTAAGCAAGTTATTATCTTCTGCGCATGTAGATTAACATGTGTGAAAGCACTATCTTGATTCTGTCCCAGCTTTTTGGCGGTGACCATCATGAGATCAAAGTGAAGAAACATGTATGGAATGTTATTGAGATGACATTGACGGAGACAATCACAATGAATTCGTTAAGAAAACGATGAATGTCCATCCGTAATAGGTCCATGGTTTAACACTATGAAGTGCAAGTTGTTAAAATTTACATCATAGGTCAGGTATCTAAATTATTTTACCTCATTTGTTTGTTTAATATTACACTTGAGGTCTTGAGGAACAAAACTGAACAGCAACTTATTATTCCTAGTATCATGCTACATTTATTTATCATCTGAAGTCAAAGAAATATGAAGAAAAAGTTTTAAGGGCTTACCATAACTAATATATACATGTATATGACCTTGTACAAATCATTATTTTATTACATCAGCTGCAAAGATATGATGCTTAAAGCATTCAAGGATTTCTGTCCTACTAGGTACCCATTAACTTCACCTGGATTGTAAGTGGCAAATATATTTATAAAACCCTTGTCAAAGAACAACAATGCCGTAGTTGGACAGGAACTGCTAACTGTTACTGTCAATGGATGACGTCGTCTTTCCCTTCGGCAGTAACAGTTTAAATACGTCTCCTTCCCCCCCCCCCCCCACCCCCTTCACACACAAAACTAATAACAAAATTAATAGGGCTCATTTAGAGTCGAAAACGGTACAACGAATCGTGTTCTTTCTCTAATAATTTGAGGAAACATCAAAGCTTTCGCGCTTCACGCGAGAGGGGGAAACTGAATTCAGATGAATAGGGCTTATTAAGAGTCGAAAACGGTACGACGAAACGTCTTCTTTCTCTAATAATTTAATGAAACGTCAAAACTTCCGCGCTTCGCGCGGGAGGGGGAAGCTGCATTCAGATTAGGATTAAGAGTCGAGAACAGTACACCGAATCGTCTGCTTTTTCTCATAATTTAATGAAACGTCAAAGCTTTCGCGCTTCGCGCGGGAGGGGGGGGGGGGGACTTCATTCAGCCTAGGATTACCAGTCGAAAACGGTACAATTAATCGTCTTCTTTTCCTAATAATTTAAGGAAACGTCTAAGCTTCCGCGCTTCGCGCGGGAGGCTCATCACCCACACCCCCTTATGAGCGCGCTTTTAAGTGATTCTCTTGCTCCCACCGCCCCTCCCTAAAATAAGATCCTAGCTCCGCGCCTGCATTAAAATATATAGCTATGATGCTGACTAAATTTAAGAAATAATTCGTATATTAATGTCGTCGAGGAAAATGACCATTTTGCGCATATGCAAGTACTATAGATAGTCCATAGGAAAAACAATTTAGCCTTCGGCCCCAGGTTTATAGGGTTGACTTTGTAGATATTGGAAATTTAATTTTGTCGGTAATTGGTGGCTACTTTTGTCGGTAATAGTTGGCCTCTACACCCCCCCCCCCCCCCCCCCCCCCCACTGAAAAAGGTCTAGCGACGCCCCTGATCATATGACATGCAAAGTTCCAAAGTACGAAGTACAAACAACCAGGGGCGGCGATGTCTTTTCGTGACCGGGGGGGGGGGGGGGGGGGGGGGGGTGGACGAAATGCGAGGGACGAGAGAGCAGTGGCGTAATGAGCAAAAACGATTTGGGGGGCAGAAAAAAAATCCACATCACCACTGCTCTTACATGTTACGCAGGCCCTGGGAACGTTTTTCAAATAGGGGGGGGGGGGGAGTATTTACGATCAGTCAGAGCAAAGCAAAGCAATGTGGATCGTAAATTGGCGTGGGGTCTAGAGGAAAAGCCCCGGCGGGTGTTAAGGGGCGAAGGGTTTTAGGTATGTATTAAGGTCAGATGAGCATTGATACCTTATTTTGTGACACTGGCATGCAGGTCACTAATTAGAGTGGGATCCAGGGGCGGAGCCCCCAGAAGCTCAGGGGTTTTAGGCATTAAATTACGTTCAGATGAACATCCAGGGGCCACCTTAGGGCCCTTGGTGGGGTCCAGGGGGCAGGGTCCCCGGAAGCTCAGGCGTTTAAGGCATTTAATTACGGTAAGATGAGCAACCATGCAGGGGCCATAGAATCAACAGTCCGGTAATGTACATGTATCCAGTAACCACCATAAAATGACACCTCTACCAAACATACATGTAGTAATACCAGAGCTACCAAGTATCACGCATTAGGCGTGACATCACGCATTTTAAGGGTCTAAAAACGCTCTCACGAAAGGCGCGTGCGCTAGATTAAAAAAAACCCTCTATACCTTATACGTGTGTTATACCTTAGCACGCGCGTTCGCGTGCCGAATCATGAAAATGTCACGCATTGCGGATCTTTGAACTTGGCGTCTCTGTAATACATCATGCATGCATATTATCTACACAGGGTTCTTGCCAATTGAGAAACAAACTTGGTGCCAAAACCAAGCATGGGAGATAACAAGAAAAAAAGTACTAACAGCTATAATTGTGTTATGTATACAGTACATGTGCACTGTATGTTGCAAATGCAGTACTTCCAACAACAACAAAAAATGGTTTGATCCACCAAAATAATCCTACCCCCCCCCCCCCCCCCCCCCCCCCCCCCCCCCCCCCCCCCCCCCCCACACTCCAAATGCTGGTAGGCCATATTTCACTCTATTTGCACCAATAGTGAACAAATTTCCTGCAAAATAAGCTTACATACTGTAATGTACTGTCTATAGAGACCGCACAAGGAAAACACAAAAAGTAGTCTTTGCAGACAGGTTCCTTTAGTACATGTACATGTTTCAATGAGAAACCATTTTCAAGGGGAACAAATGTGGTCTTTGTAGACAGGTGGTCACTAAAGCAGGTTTGATTGGACTTTCAATTGAAATGCATTCCATGGGATATTGTATGTTGTGACATCATTGTCATGTGATCACTTTTTGTGTGTTTTGTTTCCAACTGACAGCTGTGACAAAAAGAACAACACAAGGCATATGTTTTCAGGAAATATAGTTCCCATCACAGCATTAAAGGACTATAATCAACCTTTTAAATGAAAATAATAAAGATACCGAGGTAATACTCAGGCGCAGTTCTAGACAAATATTTCTTTTGTGTGTGAAGGGGGGTGGGGGAAGGAGACGTATTTAAACTGTTACTGCCGAAGGGAAAGACGACGTCATCCATTGACAGTAACAGTTTAAAATACGGCTGCAAGAATTTCAAAACAGAGTTCAATTTCGACCAACAAAACGCTGAAAAAAGACATATAAAATGCATCATACAGTCAAGCTGGTAAGTGGAACCAATGTATATAGACAAAATCTAGGCCTACTTTTCAAGTACAAAATATAAATGCATCGGATATCATGATATGAATCCGCTAAAATTACATCTTAATCTAAAGTTTGGTTGCCAGATCTGGCCACCAAAGTTTGCACAGGACACCCTATGGCCGGCTTCCGTCTCTAAAGAGAAGAGCTGACTCTACCCAAAATTCCAAATCAGAGGCTAACGAGCGAGAGAAATTTTTGGTCTAACAATCATACAACTACTCTAGCTAGGCCTAGACTAGACCGAATTTTCCGTCTCTTTCGTTCGTTAGCCTCTTATTGGGGTAGGGTCGGCTCTCTCTTTAGAGACGGAAGCCGTTTATACACATGTCCTTGCTAACGCCACGGCCAGTCCTGGTCGTAGCGTTTTGCCCCCAAAATCCCCCAAAATGTCATTTTACCTCGAGCATGTTATATTGTAAATTAGGCCTAGGCTATAATAAATCAGTTCCACTTACCAACTTGACTGAAATAATCAGTTTAATAGTCCCTTTTAGGAAATTATGGGTCAAAATCGGAATCCATGTTGAAAAAGATTTTCAAAATGGATTTCGATTTTGACCCATAATTTCCTAAAAAGGGACTATTAAACTGATTATTTCAGTCAAGTTGGTAAGTGGAACTGATTTATTATAGCCTAGGCCTAATTTACAATATAACATGCTCGAGGTAAAATGACATTTTGGGGGATTTTGGGGGCAAAACGCTACGACCAGGACTGGCCGTGGCGTTAGCAAGGACATGTGTATAAACGGCTTCCGTCTCTAAAGAGAGAGCCGACCCTACCCCAATAAGAGGCTAACGAACGAAAGAGACGGAAAATTCGGTCTAGGCCTAGACCTACAAGGATATGGAAGGGAAGAAAAGTACTAGTAGGGGGTCTATTCAATCTAATCCAGGGAAGAAATGCAGTCATCATGACAAATATTTTTCACATGACCAGTGCAATAATATGTTGTTGTTTATAATACCAGCCGTGCTACTGTGGCTTTCTGCAGCATTCCAGCGGTGCGATGGAGAATCATCTCCCCAGGAGCTCCGGCGAACATGGCTGTGATGTCAGCCGATATCAGGCCGTTTTGACGAAATGTAGTAACGTAATATCTGTATGTTTCCCTCTCCGTTTTCGACATATTCTCCAATTCATCAAGCGACATGTGAATTAATCCCGCCATTTTGCATCCAACTCTCAATAAAATATTGACAATTGCTTTTGAAATTGAAGGATTTAGGGCATTTCTTGCAGAGAAAAACTCCCAGACTAATTCGGTCAGCTCTATAACTATAGAACATCACCTCCTGGCATGGCCTCATGGCCCCCGGCCTCTCCCGCGGTACCCACTCGTTCTTTTATAGGGCCTACTTACGAATCGGCGGTGTGTAGCCTTCTGAATTTCAAGCGATGATTTGCGAAGGATGTCTTCCCCGGGTCTACCCGAAGAAAGCGCAATCATGCCAGGGCTAAGATTAAAATTCAACTCAGCTTGTTCAGATGCGAAATAGCCATGTCTTTTAAGTTCATCGTTGGACATTCGCCCAAGAGCATCAACAGAAACCCGTTTGTGCTCCATCTTTATCATGTCCATTGTCGATGTCTAACGTTAGTTCTCGTTCGTTCGTTCGTTCGGTCCGGTCGGTCTGCCTGAGAAAACAAATCTCAAAGTGTAAATTGCTAAATAAACAGGACCATGGACTAATGGAGTAACTTTACTATACTGAAACATGGAGGGAGGGCCATGGGGGGGGGGGGGGGGGGGGGGTGATCGAAATACCGAGTCTCTAACCCTGCATGACATGGGGACCGCCTAATTCATGTGATGCGACCCCATTTATTTGATTTTTTTTTCTCATGAAGAGTGCCCTTTCCTATTCGAATGAGGGGGCTGTTTACATGCAATCTCAAAGAGATTCGATCATACACAGTATGTCCTCCGTGCAATCTGTGCAATCTCTTTCTTTACGCATATTTTGTGCACATGACTGATCGAAGGGTCATCTTTTTTGTCGGTATCATGACTTGACGTGCCCTTGCCCCTTTGCCTTGCCCCCATAGGCACCCCCACGCCCCCCCCCGGCCCCCCGCATGAAAAACTGTGCGCGTCAAAAATACACAGTCATCACACTTTACTTACAAACCGTCGATGTGCAGACTTATGAACTTTTTCCATCACTAGGTGTACAAGTTGTCTGCCGGGTGACCCAGATGAAAAGTCGATCAGGCCGTTTATATACACTCTAAATGGATACGAAACATAATAGCCATGTTCCCAAGCTCTGTGTTTGACATCTGCCCAAGAGCATGTAAAGAAGCACGGGTGGACTCCATCATCAGTATTATCATAATATATTTAACATGTTTTCCTCATATGAAGTAAAACTTGTTTGTTAATAAGCCTGCCAGTTGACCTCTGTCCTCGGCCGTTTTGTTGGTGTTCATTAAATATCTGTTGTAGGTTCAAAGGCCACTTTCACCCATAAAAAAACAAAAAACAAAACAAAACAAAAAAAACACGCAATTTTCAGATATACCATGCCCATGCCCCAGCCACCATCTTACTGAGAGGCGTCGAAATGTTTCCCCCCCCCCTCCCGATCAAAAGACTTAAAAAGAATTAATTTTGGTTTGATTTATCATCATTTCCCATGATAACCTTGATCCGTCCCCGATATTGCTCATTATCGACCTTCTGCCTCTAGCTCTTAAAGGTTTCATATTATTTATGTATGACGTAAGGGTTTTTTCTATCCCCTTCCCCCTATTAAAGAAAGTCGCGTATACAGTGCCCTAATAATAATCTAATATGCTTCCTATATAATTCCATTCGATTTACAAAGACTATGTAATTGATCTACATTATTTTGTATCATATGACATGCAAAGTTCCAAAGTACGAAGTACAACAACTAGGGGCGGCGATTTCTTTTCGTGACGGGGGGGGGGGGGGGTGGGGGACGAAGTGATGCGAGGGACGAGGGAGCAGTGGCGTAATGAGCAAAAAACGATTTGGGGGGGGGGCAGAAAAAAAAATCCACATCACCACTGCTCTTACATGTTACGCAGGCCCTGGGAACGTTTTGGAAATAGGGGGGGGGGGGGGGGAAGTATTTACGATCAGTCAGAGCAAAGCAAAGCAATGTGGATCGTAAATTGACGTGGGGTCTAGAGGAAAAGCCCCGGCGGGTGTTAAGGGGCGAAGGGTTTTAGGTATGTATTAAGGTCAGATGAGCATTGATACCTTATTTGTGACACTGGCATGCAGGTCACTAATTAGAGTGGGATCCAGGGGCGGAGCCCCCAGAAGCTCAGGGGTTTTAGGCATTAAATTACGTTCAGATGAACATCCAGGGGCCACCTTAGGGCCCTTGGTGGGGTCCAGGGGGCAGGGCCCCCGAAAGCTCAGGCGTTTAAGGCATTTAATTACGGTAAGATGAGCAACCATGCAGGGGCCCGCCTTCGGACCCTTGGTGGGGTCCAGGGGGCAGAGCCCCGGAAGCTCAGGGGAAAATCATGCCATTTCAGCAACATTTGTAATCACTGGTATCGAATTAGAAATAAACCACGTTTGAATTTTACTTGGGGGGAAACTGCCCTCAAAGCCCCCCCCCCCCCCCCAATCAGTACGCAAGTGCGAGGGAGCAAAAATGAATGAGAGGGGTGAAGGTGACGGAAGTGATTACCCCCTCACTGGTTTTGAAGTTTTGTATTAAAATTACAGTAAAACTACAGTATAAAAACAAGCAATATATTTTTTTTGACAATTCACTTTTCTTGGTATTTGAAGAATATTATGCGAGGTAGCGAGTGAGAATTTTTTGCATTTTTATTTGTCTAAACGCTGCACTCTTGGGCGTCCCAGAGCAAGTGTGTTGCAGTCTTTAGTCAGTATTTGCTATGCATTTTTGTGGGCACTTTTTTCAAATTTTGAGGGGGGGGGGGTACGATCCCCTTTAAACAAATTGAGGGGGATGTGTCCCCTCGTCCCCCAGGGATCACCGCCCCTGCAAACAACTCTTGGGGGAGGTGCATGATTATGTCTTAATATGTGTACCTTAGCTGACATGTATTCGCTCAGTCGCTGTTTATATAGTCTAGATTCTGTCTGTTTTTTATAATTTTTCATTCTTCAGTCAGCCCAGTTTTACCTTTTTCTGTGGACGGAAATTTGGGGGATTGCGCGATCAGTGCTAGAGAGACCGCATGTGATGCATGTGAAAAATACAAACAAAGAACGGACTGAATCTGGACCAGGCGCGGATCCAGGATTTCTTAGGGGAGGGGGCCCAATTTTTTTTTTTTTTGCTCCCGAAAATTTGAAAATTGCGCCGGCTGAAAAGTCGCTCAGTGGGGGGGGGGGGGGGGGGGGGGGGGGGGGGGGGGGGGTGGTGAGCACATTTTTTTTGTTTTTTGTTCCTCGAAAATTTTAAAATTTGCACCCCCCCCCCCCCCCCTTGAGCGCCAGGGGGGGGGGGGCCAACTCCCCAAAAGGTAAAAATCGCGTGATTTTACATGATTTTTTTCTCAAGGGGGGGGGGGGGCGGGCCCCTCGGCCCCCCCCCTGGATCCGCCACTGATCTGGACTATGGACTATGCCGCTGATATAGTCCAATCTTCCCAATTTAATTTTGATCTCCACCATACCAACCACGCAATGCGACCTCCTCCTACTTACTTGCTGCCAGCCGAAGATGGCGTGATCCTTAAATAAAAAATAGTCTTGATGGTGGGCGGAGAGTTCGTTGATAACGCCATCTTCGGCGGCTCGAAAAAAATGTAGGGAATAATATTTTTTAATATAATTAAATAAGAGATTACATGGACAAAATATGAGGCAAATAGTAATTTATATCAACTTCACTTTATCATGAATAACTGGCACAATAAACTAGTTGAGTTTTGTTATATTTTCCACTAAAGGTCGATTGGCAAAAAAGTTTCTCAATTACTTATCAAGCAGGAAAAAAAAAAGCACATGAGCTGTGCCATTTTTTAATTTTTTTTTATTGTTTTGATTCTTTTAAACATATTTCGATTGATGGGAAAGTTGCCCTTATCCAACAAATATTACAGCGCCATCTTGTGTTTAAACGTTACTGTGATCGGTATATAATAGTTAAAAAAAAATAAAAAAATTTAATGCCTTTTTATGTTCATGCCTTCTTCATGCATGCATGTTTCATGCTTTATTTGATTTAATAGTAAAAGTTCTTTTGAATTATTTAGCTGTGAATGTAAAATCATATTCTATATAATAATATTAACATGCAGATTATTTTATGTATTGATTTTGTTATTGTTTGTTATTATGATTTTTGTTATTGTTTGTGAAAAGCAATGGAGAAAATAAAATATCATTGAAAAAAAATAAAATATTATATCATAATAATTATAAAGAACCGGCCAGATTCTGGACTACGGACCACTGTAAGCATCCTCGAATGTTAGACCCCCACCCCATTCTCGATCGCAACGACATGAAATCGCCTCCCTTGGGTATACGGAACTGGCAATAAAGCATGGACCTTAATATGTCCATGAATATAGTAAGTTATGCCAGTAATAATCGTCCGAATTATGTTACAAAATGAGTCTGAATCGGATCCGCCCCCTCTCTCTCTCCCCTCTTTCCCTCTTTTTCCTATTGTGCGCAATATCCCTTGTTATGATGTAATGTTATCACAAGATGATTATACATTGTTCAATTAATCATCCCTGCTCCTCATGACACACGAAAAGTACTATACACACACACAAAATTTTACCCGTGACTATGACTTATGTTTTTTTTTTAAATCAGTTTTTCTTCACCTCCTTGTTCTACTCATGCGCAATCATTAACAAATGTATCAGGTTTGTAACATACGGTACCTCCCCTTTTAATAAATATCAAGCGTTTTTCTAAGAAAAACACTCAAATCACACAAGCGTGTCCATCATTAAAAGACAACGAAAAGGAGGGGGGGGGGGGATAGCGAGCACTAATTTTTTATTTGATTTTTCTCTCGAAAATTTAAGAATTGCACCCGCTTGAGCACCAGGGGAGGGGGCCCGTCTCCAAATAGAGGTATAGTATACTTATATACAGTGCGTCCAAGAAAGGCCGAAGCCGAGAATTTTTGATGTTTTACCATAGCTTAATCACAATTATAATTAATAAATGACACAGTATTTGTAAAGCTTAGATCCTCCTCTTTCATGATTTTGATGCAACTCATATAAAACATATTTCACGCATGAGTGATTAAAACCAACTTGAAGAGAGGGAACCAATAGTCATTTTGGCGGACGGTATCTGAATTTCAAAGAGAAAATCACATTTCTAGAAAGTTCAGTTTCTGTCCTTTCATATGACACCTCAATCAGGAAATATGAGCCAGGAATAACGTTCTATAATAATAATAATAACGTTATGTTTGTTTTAAGTAATGCTTGCATATCCATAATTTGATTAAACGAATTCGTTTTCATTGACTGCCTGCCGTAGCAACAAACGGAATTGACAAAAGACTTAACTCCGTTTCGTTGACGATCAGCCATAGATGAAAGACTTCATGCATGGACAAAACTCAAAAAGCAACGGAACTTACCAATCGACAATGTGCAGCCTAAAGGCCCGGTCACACAGCCTTTCGCGTCTGTATCGCGGGTAAAATTTCGCGATTTTTTTTTTGCCCGCGGTTGCCCGTGGTGGAAAATGTGCAAAATTGGCTTACCCGCGGTTTACCCGTGGTATGCCCGCGGAACAGACGCCGGCGACTGTTCCGCGTCCTTATCGCGGGTGAAGCGCGGCGGTACCGCGGCCTACCACGCTTACACGCGGTACACACGCTAATGCACGTGATAACAACGCGGTACAGACGCGGAACAAACGTGCTATGACCGTGCTCCACCCGCGATTACCCGCTAAAATTTCGCGTCCAATTCCGCGTGTAACCACGTCTTAACCGCGGCCGTAGCACGTCCTAGCACGTTCGTTCCGCGTCTGTACCGCGTCTTTACCGCGTGTGTACCACGTGTACCGCCCGCGATTACCCGCGGTCTAAATTTTTGGGCAGCCCAAAACTTTTTCGCGCGGCCAACCGCGTGTGAATTTCTTACCGCGTGTAACGACGGGTAAAGTACGGCTGTATCGCGTCTTTATCGCGACCTCAAAGCGTCCAACAGCGTCTGCTTCACGGGCAGAAATTTTTGGCCGTGATTCGGCCGCGATACGCCCGTGGAGGGCTGTGTGACCGGGCCTTAAGCGGACACTTTTTTTTTGTTTTGTTGATAATTTAAAAAAAAAAAAAAAAAAAAAAAATCCAAAGGGGGGGGGGGGGGGTTTGAACCCCCCCCCCTGCGTACGCCCCTGAACACGTGTATGTATTACATATAATGCTTTAGTAATCAGGATTTAGTAGCTCTCTCTCTCGGCATCTGTCTGTCTCGAAAGACAATAGAAAATTGCGCTAGTTGTACTAGTCAGTTTAGTATATGCCCAACAAATTAAGCAATCCGAGCCAAGTTTATTGTGCCCATGCATATTTGCCGCTCGTAGGTATATACCAATAGGCCATTTCGTAATGTAACCAAATTTATGCATATGCCTTTGTGAAGCGCCTCGATACAATTTATTTCATTCACCTGTTACAAATAGATGTATCTCAATAGTCGGAATACAAATTACATACATTAGTTGTTGCTAGATAGGACAAGCATTATGGCTTGCCCTACCACAACACGTATTGCCTGCAATGCGCATTCTGACTATTGAATACATTATTCGTAAAAGGTGAATGACATAATTTGTAACGAGGCACTTAAAGCCCCACTGCACTTCTTATTAAGCTACTTGTGCCCTCTATTATAGCAAACAATAATTGCCTCATTAAGCCGTGACCGTTTGTCCCCCATGGTCCCTTTTCTTTTGTTAATTGAGAGCTGATTTGATGAGATAACCACCTGTCAGTGACCATGCAGGGAGGTCTAATCCCTCCTGGCTAAACTAGTGCAGATAGGCTTAACAAAGATTTAATAAATCTTTGTTAAGCCTATCTGCACATTTAATGCATAATATGCATTAAATGTTATTACATTACGAAAATGGCCTATTATCAGGTCCAGGCACATAGAATACACTGTGAATGGATGGAAAGACTCTTATAGGCTGTTACACGTATACATAATTGATGTTGTTAGTAATCACACTAATTCGAGTACTCCTATGAACAACCAATTACAATTTCAAATTGTTATTTCATAAGCTGGTATAATTCCATCTCATATGAAGGTAAAAATCTCCTTCGAACAATGCATTGTTATTCTAAGCACAGCATTCATACAATTCCGAATTCCTATATTATATACTCTGACGTTATCCCTTGAAGCTGAATATAATTATGTAGCTGTAGAGTGGGACGAGTTTTGATGGAACAATCATATTCTGATGCTGATGATGTCCTATAATTATGTTATGTCATATAAGACGATTGTGTTTTAAACTTGTAAATACATGTACTTTTCAATTGTATTCAATGGCAATTCAGTTTTTGATACAAACCCTTCTATATATATATATATATATATATACATTTTGTAATCGTCATATATAGTCTTCAATGTTATGAATACGTTTTATTGTTGTATTGAAGGAATTTAAAAAAAAATGTTGTAAAACATAATTATTGACCATAGACAGTCCTGTAGGCCTATTGTCGATCCCACCATTATCTGTTATGTTATATTTAAGGTGTATTCTTGTTTGTCTTTTGATCGTTTTCTAGTTTTATCAGATTGTGGAAATAAACTAAACTTGAAACTTGAACAATAGCCTACGTATAATATACTGCTCTTTTCCCGATAGTCGCCTGATCAAAATATATTTGAGTATAATTAGTAATTACTCGAATCTAAGTACCGGGAACTTTAGGAAAGATTATGCAAGGGCTCAAAGGAACGAAATAATAGACATTGTATCGAATTTCAAAGAAAAAAAAAATGATGGAATTGATAATCATTTGTTGAAAAGTATCATTCCCTATGCTATTGTTCACTTGGCGCACATTAAGGACTTTTAGATTTACACGTCGAGAGCGTGGACTGCCGAGTGTGACATTGTGTTAAGGCACTGGGCCGTGCCCGGCAGTGCCTTAAAGGGACGTCACATTACCTTAAAAGGATGTCACACGTGGCGGTCCACGTTCTCGTCGTGTAAATCTAAAAGTCCCTATCGTGAACCTATCTCTAACATGTGGGCTCGTGCCGAATAACATGAACATAGCCAAGGTCATTCCCATACACAAGGAGACAACGTCAACAGTTATAGGCCAATTTCGTTGCTAACGACCATATCCAAAATCCTTGAAAGAATTGTATATATTAGAAAAGTTAACTTCTTCAAAATTAATGATATATTCTTTAACTTTCAATTTGGATTTCCAGAGAAGTATACAGTGCAGCGCATGCATCACTCACTTTTGTTGAGAAAGTAACTCTCGTACGCTTGACAAGCATTCTCCTGGACTTCTCCAAGGCATTCGACACTATTAATCATGACTTACTCTTGATAAATGTTTATGTTCTTGTATGGGTCAATGGTTGTCAAGGAGGATGACAGCTCGGCAGGGACGGAGCCAGCCGGCGGCAAGGGAGGGGGCCAGAGAGGGGGCCCAATTCGTGAGAAAATATTTATAGCACTAATTTTGTTTTTGCTCAATGGGAGGGGGGGGGGGGGTAGTGACCACTATTTGTTTTACTCAACACCCCACCCCCTCCCCCGGCTCCCCGGTCTCCCTTGGATCCGCCACTGACTGACACCATCATCATCACCACCATCATCTCCATTATCTACATCACCATTGTCTCTATCTTCATCATCACAATCAAATCCATTCTACATCATTACCAGGACTATTGCAGCATTGCTACCATTTGAAAGTATTATATCATTCCCTCATCATAAATAATTATTTTTTGGCATAATGTATCACGTTCATCCCCATTCTTTTTACAATCATCGTGAAGTGGTACATGTTTTTTTTAGTAATCATCCCTCCAAAATTGATAGGTCAATGTCCTTCATGAAACATTGAAACAGCATTTAAAGGAAACCTCACCTCAAAGAATAAGTGTAGACAGTGGCGTACGCAGGATTTTTTTCAAGGGGGGGGGGGGGTGGTTTAAAATCGGGCCAAAAATTTCCGCAACGACTCAGCCAGCCGCTGAATAAGCGGGGGGGGGGGGGGGGGGGAGGGGGAGGGGGGGGGGGGGTGGGGGTGAGAGGACACTTTTTTTTTTAGGAGTCCCAAAAAATCACAACGACTCAGACAGCCGCTAAGCGGGGGGGGGGGGGGGGGGGGTAAGAGGACACTTTTTTTGTTTTGGTCTCGGACATTTTGTTCCGTTGGGGGGGTAAGGTCACCTTTTTTAGGTCAGCCATTGGCATAATTAAAAAAAAAAAAAAAAAATCTAAAGGGGTGGGTTTTCTCAAAAAACATACACATAAAAAAAACTCAAGGGGGGGGGGGGTTTAACCCCCCCCCCCCTGCGTACGCGCCTGAGTGTAGATATAAAGAGTACCAGCTTTATATTTATGCAATTTGCGTTCTGGCAATTGTAGTACACAAAACTGGGAAGGAAGCATCCATAAATTTGAAGACATTTACTTGATAAACGACTTCACATTGTACGTCACGTTATCAAGAAAATGGCGATGCCCATGTCGTGCTGAGAAACTGTACAGTATTCTTGCTGGGCAAGAATATAATAGATATAATTTATCAGAATAAGTAAATTTATTTCTCGGGGTGAGGTTTCTTGTAACAACTCACACGAAATGATACAATCTCAATCATCTTCTTAAAGCAGGTATCTTATATAATTGATTACATAATGTTTAATGAAAACAGACATCAATTTGTACAGCAAAGTTTGGTTCATAACATTTCCACCACAAATTAAATAATTATATATCATTTTCACTAAAAATATATAATATATTCTAAAGTTTTACAAATTACTAACCTTTTTAGATATAATGAATCTTGATTATATGAATGACAAAGGCAGATTGTTACTCAAATGACATGAAAAACATACAACTAGCCTACATTATAGGATTTCTTTAAATAAATATAAACCATAGAAAAACAAAATGAAATTCTGGCGAATTCTATATTTAACCAAATCAAACTTGGAAGTCTTATGTTATGTCAACTTTTCTAATTGAGAAAATCAAACGAACTGTTGAGTTGAAAAGGAGAAAAAACAAAATTAGACAATCTACAAGTGTTACCAAATTTTGGAAGTTGTAATCACTATACAGAATGTAATGCAATATACAGCCGAACAATATATTATTTACATCTAATTTAAACAGACTAATGTAAAACATAAATTATTGTACTTGTATATGTACACGTATTCGAAATTATGACACATCATCAATTATTGTTTAGTTGTTTCCACAGCACTTCAAAAATGATTTGAGACTTTCTAACTTTACATGTATGAATACATTTTATGAACATTATTTGACAATCATCAGTTTTAACAATCAGTCATCAAAATAACTTACGTCTGGGCGTGAGAGGCTAAGGCTTATAATAGAGTCCAATATCCTTGTATTGTACAGCATGCACGTCCGCCCAGTTTACAAACTCCTCCACTCTCGGGAGAAGAACCTTGATCAAAGATGCAACGTCGTCTTCAGCGGAATGAGAATTTGGTGGTTCCCTTCCAAATGTTCTCTCGAAGATGTTGGTGAGAGAATATGAGATTTGGGGGGATTTAGTGTGGTATTCCTGATTTGTTTTTCTTGGGGGTGGGGGAGGGGACGGGCGTTTAGTGAGGGTCCGTTCAGGTGTGTTATCAGAAGAGGTGCTGGGATTGTTCCCGGTAGTAGGTAGTTTTCGTTTCAGTGAGATCGGTTCCTCTGTATCAGTTGCAAAGTTAGATGTGAAGCCTTCCAAGGAGTCTGCACAAAAAAGACCCTCAAAAAGTTTCCCTGCAGTCAGCCTGGATAGTTCTGTTCGCAACATGGGGAAGTCAAATCTTTTCCCATTGTGCGCAACCAGACAAACTGGCCCCTCTTGTCGCTTCAGGAAGATATTCAGCATGGAGATTATATCTTTATCGAGGGACATCTTCTTGCTCTCGCCAAGATTGTAGTTGTCCAAGCCGCTGAGCCCAAACGTCTCCGGACTTGTCTGCTTTCGGGGATCGAAGCAAAGAGTTAATTTGTCAACAACTCTTGGCAACGATACTTTAGACAGATCGTACGTTGCGTCCTCTCTCCTTGCCCCGTTTATTGACGAGAGGACAGCCGGGTGAAGAAGTCCGGTGCGGTGGACTGCATACAGACTCATTTCAATGATTTTTGGCCGCTCACAACTTTCCAGATGACTGGTTTCCAAATCAACAAAGACAAAGCTATTGATGGTGGTAGCTACTGCGCCATCCATGGCTACTGATGCTGGTGTTGAGACGGAAGAAAATGACTGCATGCTCCGAGTCTATGGCCCAGTTATGAAAAGCAGTGTTCCAACAGAGTGACAGTGCAGTATTTATGTGTATCTATGATATGAACAAGAGCCATGGTTGCAGGCTGTACTCCGTAGACTGTATTTTGACACATTTAAATAATTGCTTGCATAAGTCATCTTACAGTGCACCGTGTCTTCCTCTGTTGTTGTTGTTCTTCTTCTTCTTCAATACTGTACAGATCACCATTGGCGTATTATCATACAATGTTATTAATCGGCCAACGGAAGTGAAGTAGAAAGTCTATGAGCCATATCATTTTACAGAATATTGAAATAGTTCATGCAGGCACAGTGTATCAACATTTATACGGCCATGATAGCAAGATAAAGAGTTTACATGGCTTTAAGATGGTTCAATTTCAACATGAACAAGCGACGGGAAGTTGGTATATCCGGTGATGCAACCCAAATATTCGTTGCTTGCATTGCCGGGCTTATGCAGGTTGAGCACAGAAGAAACTCGAGTGAGCCAAGATTTATTAGCCGAGTCTGTGCCTATAATGCAGGCCTAAGCTTCCTTCGTCATGCTCATCATATTAATAATTAAGACCAATGTGAGTCAGAATCACTGTTTATCTGTAAATAAGGTCGTAGTGTCATTATTACCCAATACTGCGCGTCATGACGCTGGCCTCAAGTCACACCATGGACTCCATGGTCACACCCAAACAAATAGAAAACAGCTAAATGCGTGGGTTGTACAAACTGGGGAATACCCAAAATGCGTAGTCTTTTTTCACCGGTCACATTTATTCTGCTATTTTCATTGGAGGGGACAAACAAAGAAGGGAAACAAATAAATGCTTGAGAAAGTCCACAGGAGTAGATGAAAGAAAATGGACTAAATTAAAGGATGGCAGAAAAGACGAGAAGCGGAGTAGACCTATTTAGTAGTAAACTACATGATGTAACCAACAATATCTATAAGTAGCTATACGCGTGTATATAATTATCAATGCCAGCTTTTGACCTCAGGAATTTGGATACAATTATTTCAGATTTGTTTTATTACTTAATAAAGTCGTAAAAAACGAGAAAAAATAAATATTTTTCATCATTCATTTTTTCGCCCAAATAAAACCAATAAACCGCCAAAGCATAAACAAAAGCTCGTAACCACTACGTGGAGTCTATGACTTTTGCTGTAAAAAGGTGCTACATGTTGTGATATACTTTTCCATGTAGGCTCTATGTTATTTGAATTAGATAAAGATCAACATAAAAGAAGAAAGGATAATGCTGCTTTTTACATAAAAATGACAAAAGAAATTATACAGATAAAAGAAATCAATGAAAATTAACAATGTATATGTATAAGTAATTGTGATCGCTGTTGCTGAACATCATTCGTGCTCGAATCACACTGACCAGGCTTTTGTTCGTACCACAGCGAGCCCAGATTCCAGTATGAGCTCATTTTCATACATATCAAGCTACGAAAGCTTGCAAAGAGGTCACAAACAACTAGACTGGGCTAGCTATATGTTACAAAAAACAAGACGCCCCTGTTTGCATAGACTTGCATGTGTTTGATCTCTAGATAAGTTTCTGTACAAATTTATAATTTCATTTTTAGATTATTTCGCACAAATCTATATTTTTTTCTTGAAAGTCTTGATGGAAAAGGTATTAATGCCTTTAAACTTATTAGTTTGTTGTTTTGTTATGCAAGTGCAATGTCGAGAAGAAATTTTGAAGAAAAGGTGGAAATGAACAAGTAAGTATAATCACTTTTGTAAGCGACAATGAAAAACACACGTAGTTTGCTATTTTATTATTTCTATTTGTTTACTGTGTTTTCCCCCGTGTTCTTGCACAAAGGAGCGCTATCCTTCATGCAACAACGGATTCCCACCCATGCAGATGTATATATCAGGCGCGTACACAGGGAGGGGGGGGGGGGGTTGAACCCCCCCTTTGGTATTTTTATGTGTGTAAACCCCCCTAAAACCCCCCTAACCCCCCCCCCACCTTTGGGTTTAAACAAAAAAAATTAAATTATTAAAAAAAAAAAAAATTATGCCCATGGCTGACCTAAAAAAGGTGACCTTATCCCCCCCCCAACTATAAAAAATGTCAAATTTCCAAATTTCGAGACCAAAAAAAAAGAGGTCTTTTCTGACAATCAATGAATGGTTCATTTGTGAGACATGAAAGATTCACTAATTGGGCGCTACTTAGGTGCTAATCAATTCTCACTGTCTAGTTAGACTATTAACTACTTAAGATACTCGATCATAATGCATGTGAACATTGGATTAGTAAGTACACCTCATCCTGTACTTATAGGATTGCAAGATTACGTAGAAATTAAAAACGGACCAATGCGACATACTATTTGAAAAATACTGGAAATATATAACATAATCTAACCTAAGAACACAGTTAGAGAAATACCTTTATTTAAGTTTATGATATCTATAATCGTTTTAATGAGTGTGCTCATAGGCGATTGCTCCACAAGGAGCAGAATGATTAACAATTACAACCCCTTTCCATTTCCTAATTAAACGCCATCATGAATGATAGCACTTTGAAATGTAAAACGGTGAGATATGATAACATTGTACATTTTGTTTAAAATTAAAGGCCTAAGTTTTAAATGATGATAATGAACAATTAAAATATAAAATCATTGCTATTGTTATTTTTAGGGAGACAATAATTGTGTTTTATCTCTTATTCATCACAATGAATAAATGGCCCATAATTATTTGCTAATAACTGCTAACAGCTTAGTTTTTTTAAAGAAATTCTGGTGTCGCTCCACCATCATTATGTTTATTGACACCCTCTGACCTTTGTCGGAGTGACCTAGGTTTATTTTCTTCCATAACTGAAAATCTGAGAGACGTAGTTCAAAGACTGGTAAGATGGCATTTTAAAAAGTGCGCGGGTATCGATAGGGGCGATATTTGGAGCTGGAGCACGTAAATTAGCTAAACTGGTCACATTTCCAGAAAGGAGGTTAACGAAACACGATTATCCTTCATGTTAAATTTTAAAATAAATAAAAGAAAGTGTTCATGGCAAAAATGGTCAATCTTGACTAATTGCCAAATATAAGCAAACAAACAAGAAAAAGAAGACGGTTGTGTCAGTTAGATCATGAGTAGGCTCAATAAGACTTTTGGAATCAGCGCAAAAATTTACCCCGGATAAGCTATTCAAACCTTCCAAACAGAGGCGGCGGAGCGACTTCCAAAGTGGGGGGGGGGGGGGGGGGGGGGGGGGGGGGAGGGGGGCACCAACAAAAGAGGGCACTTTCTGGAAAAAAGGGCACCTTCAAAGGGAAATCTCAAAGGGTAAATATACAATTTTTTAGACATTGGTATATACACCTATATTGTGATTACATTATCGGGGATAATTTCAATATTTGTTTTTATTTATACATCATATAAGATTTTGCGTATCATCTTTGCAGTTGAGTGTGATGGTCTAAAAATTCATTTGCGTGCGAGCAAAGCGAGCGAGAATTTTTTTAAAAGATTTATAAGGTCGCAGTGCAAAAAAAAAAAATCTTATAAAGAGGAATGACCCAATCCTGATGGGGTTATATAAGCACATTCTCATAACGGAAGACTGAAAAGATCTTTGTTATAACGTCTATAACTACAAGCGAGCGTAGCGGGCGAGCCTTGGGGGAAATTGCTTTTAGTCGCTTGAAATTAGGGGCACGTTTGATGATGAGAGGAAAAGGGGACACTTATCGAAAGGGTTAAGACAGTTATTAGAAAAGAAAAGGAGCACGTGTCAGAGTACAAAGGCTAATTATCAGAAGTGAAAATGGGGCACATCTTACACCTAAAAAAAGAGGCATGCACCAGGGATGAAAAGGAAATGGGCATTTGTCGATGGAAAAGAGGCGCCCATTAGATTTTGATAGGGGGGATTTATAAGAAGTAAAAAGGGGCATTTATGTAAAAGGGATAGGGTCTTTATTAGAAAAGAAATTGGGCACATATCATTGTTAAAAGGGTAATGAGAAGGGGAAGTGGCTCTTATTAAAAGGAAAAAGAGGCACATATCAAAATAAACGGGGCACTTATCAAAGTAAAAGGGGCACTTTTCCTATGCAAAAAGGGGCACTTTTAGGGTACTTGAAAAAGTGGGAGGGCACTGTGCCCCCCTGCTCTCCGGGAGCGCCGCCTCTGCTTCCAAACCAATAGATCTAATTAAATCTTCCTCGCCTCTTCGGGCATACAGCTTGTATTTTTTGTTGACTTTTTCCAAAGATACATCACGTGAAATCGACTAAACGCTCGCGTCCTATGGCGTTGTGGTAAATCCACCATATTCACCATTCAACGCCACTGGGTTCACTGTTCATGTTTCTCACGGGGAATTATACCTGCCCCTACATTTAAGGTAGGCTTACATAACGCTTGGTTGGAGTGTGGCAACTATCTATCTTAAAATGATACAAGATCTAATAAAAACAGGATCTAGGACCCCCCCCCCCCCCCCCCCCCCCCCACCCCCCCCCCCCCCCCACTTTTATTTTTTAACATAAAACGTTAATATTGTATGATGCTGTTTACTACTATGTCTACTCCACTTCTATTTTTCTTAACCATCATTTAAATTTAGTAGATTTTCTTTCAACTACTCCTGCGGACTACTCGAGAAGGTTTTCTCCCTCCTTCTTTTTTTTTTGTGCTCCACTGAATGTGACCGGTGAAAAGACTACTCTTTTCGGGTAATCCCCAGTTTGTACATCGCGCGCCCGCATGCATGTACGTACATGTAGCTGTTTACTATTTGTTTGTGTGTGACGTACCGGTACGTGAGGCTACATGTCAGCGTCATGACGCGTAGTATTTCGCAATGGCGACAAGGAAATACTTACATGTCTCTTTGTAAAAGTGTCGAACTACTATGACTGTAAAGGGATATGATCATCAGTACGACCGGTAGCTATTTGCAGATCTACAAACAGTGCAAATTCTGACTGACATTGGTCTCAATCAAGTATTTTATGATGAGCATGACGGAGAAATCTTCGGACTGCACTGGCATGCATGGCCGCTAGCAAAGTAGCAGTAGCATAGGCGCAGGCTATCGCCTACCGGCTAGGCTCGGCTAAGAAATCTTGGCTCACGTCACTAGACTATGTTCTATGCATGCTCAACCTCAAGCCCGGCAATGCAAACTACGAATATTTGAGTCGCATCAGCTGATTAACGAACTTCAGTAGCCATGGATAGTGCAGTAGGTTTCACCATAAATAGCTTTGTCTTTGTTGATTTGGAAACCAGCCATCTAGAAAGTTGTGAGCGGCCAAAAATCATTGAAATGAGTCTGTTTGCGGTCCACCGCACCGGACTTCTTCACCCGGCTGTCCTTTCGTCAATAAATGGGGCAAGGAGAGAGGACGCAACGTACGATCTGTCTAAGGTATCGTTGCCAAGAGTTGTTGACAAATTGACTCTTTGCTTGGATCCCCGAAAGCAGACAAGTGCACAGACATTTTTGCTCACCGGGTTGGACAACCTCAATCTTGGCGAGAGCAAGAAGATGTCCCTCGATGAAGATACGATCTCCATGCTGAATATTTTCCTGAAGCGACAAGAGGGGCCAGTTTGTCTGGTTGCGCACAATGGGAAAAGATTTGACTTCCCATGTTGCGAACAGAACTGTCCAGGCTGACTGCAGAGGAACACACACACTACACCAAAGTTCTGCAAGAATCCTCAAGATTGAAGGAAGCAGACTGCACTGAAGAAGCAGAAGCAGAAGAAGTGTTTGAGGATCTTTTTTGTGCAGACTCCTTGGAGGGCTTCAGAGCTAACTTTGCAACTGAGACAGAGGTCAAGCAGGATGAGGAGCCATTCTCACTGAAAAGAAAATTGCCAGAATGTGATGTTTCAACTGGATGGCCTTACTCAGAAAAAAGAGGAACAAATCTGTCTACCGGTAACACTTCCACTTACAGTGAGAGCAGAGTCTCTGTTTCTAGTGCTGCTGCTGTGACAGAATCTAACGAAACTTCAATGAACTGTCCTACCATTTTGGCAAGTTCACATCATGAATCATCTTCATCATCATCGATTCAACCGCAAACCTCTGAAGATCTAGGTGCTTCTACACAGCCCTCTATACCAACCCTAGATCCCATTTCTCCTCACATTACTGCAACTACTACTACTACTACTACTACTACTACTACAGAGTACAGTTCCAGTACCTCTTCTGATAACACACCCGAACGGACCCTCACTAAACGCCCATCCCCTCCCCCACCCCCAAGAAAAACAAATCAGCACTACCACACCAAGTCCCCCAAAATCTCATATTCTCTCATCAACATCTTTAAGAGAACATTCGGAAGGGAACCTCCAAATTCTCATTCCGCTGAAGACGACGTTGCATCTTTGATCAAGGTTCTTCTTCCGAGAGTGGAGGAGTTTGTAAACTGGGCGGACGTGCATGCTGTACAATACAAGGATATTGGGCTTTATTACAAGCCTCTCAAGCCCAGACGGAAGTTATTTGATGACTGATTGTCATAACTTATGACTGTCAAACAATATTTATAAATGTATTCATACCTTTAAAGTTAACAAATCTCAAATCATTATGAAGTGCTGTGGGAGCAACCAAATAATTTATGATGTGTCATAATTTTGAATAAACGTATAAAGTATTTACAGTTGTACAAGTGCAAGGTGTTTTACATTAGTCTGTTTAAACTAGATGCAAATGTACATGTTGGAGTGATTACCAAAACTTTGTAACACTTCTAAATTCTAATACATTGTAGATTGTCTGATTTTTGCTTTCCTTTACAACTCAGTTTATTTGACTTTTCTCAATTAGAAAAGTTGGATTGCCATTGACCAGATTATACATTCCCTCACTCATGTACACATTTGATTAGGATTGTGTGTGACTGTGTGATCATGTTTTGATGTGATAAATATTTCAGATAATGAGCAAGATTTGAAACCATGTATACAGGTACTTCTGTGAAGTATAGTTATTGTTAAAGTACAACAAGGGACAAGGAGATAGGCCTGGAAGCTTGGCTGCTGCCTTAGGAATATCCAATATTTGCAGTTAAGGTAAAGTTATAGGTAACATCTGTGCCTGATTTGTGTATGGCAAATTTGTTTAATGATGCAGGTCAAAGTCTGTTCAATGAAAAAAAAAAGAGTATAATATAAGATATAAGATACATTGTATGAGGGAACATTTTCATTGTGCTGATCATGAATATCCTGGCAACAAGATGATGTCTTTATTCATCCAATCCTTATTCTTACAGTTTAAGAAACCTGTTATACTCATGTCATGGTGAAATAATAATCTCTAAAAAAAATGATGGTTTAATTTAGAAATCATGAATAATCAGTAATGTAAATCGGTTGGTACACAATGCTTTATCTTTCAAAGAAAAGATATGAAGATCAGAGCAAACCTCAGAATCCAGAACACATGCATTCAGGTTTACAATATAATTGCTTGAACTAGCCTCGTGCATAAATTGTCGCAATTGAAATTAAAGATGAAGTTGAGTTCTGGTCATGCGATTGAATTGTGAAAGAAACGGTGTGGAATCGACTAGAAAAGGTTGATTATCTAGCATATAAGAATTTGTGTGTATTGCAAGGTTCTGGAATCATCAAAATAATAAGAAATTGGCCAAGTCTTGGTAAAGTTACAAACACTGTACACAGAAAGATGTATATGGGACTACATGAACACGTGGCATAAAAAACCTACCCCCCGAGTTTTACGATGTACATGACATATTTAGAATATGAAGGCATTTGAAGAGATATACTTTTCAGGGAACATGTCTTATCTGATGTTCTTCCACACTTGCATAATAAGAATGATAACGCTCACAAATTATTTTTCACCTCTTCCCAGAACTCAACCTTCTCTTTAAATGCAATTTTGATCAGAAACACGCATTTAGAAAGGCGGTTGATTTTCAGATATGCATTCAAATGCAACTTTGTATGCAAGAGGGCCCTCATAAACACCTTTGTCTTTGAATTCAGTCATCTACATGTAAATTTTATGTTTTTATTTTATGAATTTTCACATAGTTTAAAAAAAAAATCCATAACCAAGTGATAATATATAAATTTTATTTAGTTATACATTATGTAAATATAGATCTTGCCAGAATTGCATATTGTTATTGTATGTTTTATATTGTGTACTAAAATATTATAATATTTGTTCTTCATGTCATGTTAGTGACAAAATCAGCCTTAGTCATTCATACTATATTCAATATTCATTATATTTATAAATGTTAGTTGTACAATTTAGGAATTTTATATACAATTTGTATTGCAAATGATATATATATTTATGAATGTTGAAAATATTTTTGTACCAATGTATGCTGTACAAATTGATGTCTGTTTGGAATAGACATCATGGACTAAATTATACCAGATACCTGATTTAAGAAAATGATTGAGACTGTATTATTTCTTTTGAGTTAAATTTGTTTTAGTGTTTCATGATGGACATTGATATATTAATTTTGGAGGAATGATGACTAAAAGGACATTAATTACAACTTCATGATGATCATTAAGAGAATGAAGATGATAGTAATAGAAAATGCCAAAATAATTCTCTATTATGAGGAATCATTAGGATAAAATTAGTCCAAAATTGTAGCAATGGTCCTTGTAATGATGTAGATTTGATTTGATTGTGAACGAAATGATGATGAAGATAGAGATCATAGTAATGTAGATGGTGGAAATGATAATGATGATGACGGAAACAATGATGATGGTGTGGCAGTGATGGTGATTAATTGATTATGGTGATGAGGAAGGTAATAATGATGGTGTGATTGATTGGTGGTGACAGTAGTGATGATGATGCTGGTATAATAATAGTTCGTTCTTTTATAGCGCATTTCAGGACCGAAGGCCCTCTCAAAGTGCTTAACAATGTACAATGTACGTTTACATAATAATTACTTGAAGCATTCATCAAATGGTATCTCATTATGGGGTTGGTGGTGGTCATGGTCATAATGATAATTATGACACTGATGAGGTGGTTAAGATGATGGAGGTGATAATAATTCATATGGCGCAACCATAGGTCCATGGTACAACTAATGGTGGATGGTGAATTTGATAAAAAGTGATCAAATGGCACCAAAAACTTTGTTGTCTGTTGCCCAAATTTTAATTTTCAAGTTTTTTAAACTCAGCAAGCAAATGAAGCAAGCAAACAAAGCTTTGGAGACTTCTCCGCTTCTGAATTATTTTACATACATCCTGACAGCAAATCAGCAATCACAGCAACAGAAACACACTGGGCTTCATCGGTAATATTTCAAAAGCATATTTATTCAACGCACACATGTGCAATTTTCATTTCTACAAGAAATTTGATCATATAGACTCATCTAAATACATTACATTTGGGTAAAAACATTCTCCAAATCCACCAGAAAAAATATAGTGTGCTCTAAACTTTACAAATACAGAAATTTATACAATCAATTATCTTCTTGTCTCACAAGAAATTTTGAAAGAAAATTATAAAGAGAAAAGGGCTCTGAAAAGATATTAATGTGCGCTGCAGTGATTAAATACTTAAAGGCCCACTGCACTACTTGTAGCTACTTGCTCCCTCTATATAACAAACAATGCCTTATCGGTGACCATTGGTCCCCCATGATCCTCTTTTTCTTATGTTAACTGAGAGCTGAGTTGATGAAATAACCACCTGTCCAGTGACCTTGCAGAGTGCTCTAATCCCTCCCGTAAACTACGGCAGATAAGCTTTAATAGTACTTATTTGGTCCAGAAACTATTTTGTATTTGGACATGTGTACAATATTTATTTTGGTAAAAAGTAAGATGGTCTTTTCCTATTAAACACAAAGGAGGAATAGAGTGGGTGTTTACTTACAAACAAAAAATAATGATAATGATTTATTGGCTAACCTTATGCCTGCGGGACCATCATAAAAAGCAACAAATTTTTACAAATTTGTTCATTTTCTATGAGTAACTACAATCAAGTATAAATTTTCATTTAACCAATATATCGTAATCAAGCAAACACATGAATTTACATCAATGATCTTCATTGTAAACTATGCATAAGATATAAAATTGGTTATATTCCTAATGGCACAAAAGAAGTATATATGTTCACTTTGTAAACTTACTATTCAGCCATTCATGATGTATAGTATACTTTGTAAATGGAATGTCTGTTCATACACAGGGCAGTGTGATTTTTTTTCTCACTAATATATTGTACAACTACCAAGGACATAAGATATAAAGTTTTCGACATTGATTGTTTTTCTGCAAAAGACCTCTGCCTATAACTTAGGGACGTTCAGCAGTAATGTTTGTGGGCACCTTAGATGTGCATGGCCAGCTATTCATGCATTTACAATGCATAACACCGAGGACTCCCCGGGGGAACTCCAAGCAATGCGCATGATAAAGACATATAACCAATAGCTAAAGAGAGCACAAACATTACCACGGAACCTTCTTAAATAGCATTCACTGAAAAAGCTATTCTGAGCATTACCACAGCAATATGTACTAACAGGATAATGATGTTGGTAAATTTGTGGATTTCTTACAGCCCCACTGTCCTACTTGTAGCTACTTGCTCCCTCTATATAGAAAACTTCCCCAATCGGTGCCTGTTGGTACCCCATGATCCTCTTTTTCTTATGTTAGTTGAGAGCTGAGTTAATGAGATAGCCACCTGTCAGTGACCTCGCTGTGTGGTCTAATCCCTTCTGGCTCAGTAGTATTGACGGTCTTAAAAGAAAATTTCCCCTAAAGCATATAAAGTTTTTTTATCAGAAGGAATTTACCCCCACACTGCTCCTTAATATCATAGTAAACCAGCCAAACATTAAAAAAAGGCTCTAGAAAAATATTCCATGGCATTTTGGGGGTATTTAAATACGTACATACCATCCATGCTGAAAATCTTGCAAAAATAATAAGGAATAAAATAGGGGTGAATGGCACACGCCCTTTTTCGGCTGATCTGTTATCGTATACAGACGGTACAATCTCAATGATCTATTGTCCATATAATGTGCTCATATAAGCAGGCACGTAGCCAGAGTTTGATGTTTGGGGGGGCACATACATGTACATGTAATCGATCGAGGTAAAAAAATAGGGGTCTAAAAAAGTTCAATCGATCTTGGAAATTTTTTTTTTTTTTTTTTGGGGGGGGAGCACGTGCCCCCCCCCCCGTGACTACGTGCCTGCCTATAAGCTCACAAAAGTGAAACACAGTCCATGATGTAGCACATGAACTGACAGAACTATTCACCTCAGAAGATGATTCTTAGAGCTGCCAGAGTACCTGGGCTGAGAAATGGTTGTCATCAAACAATTTGCCCGAAAAAATTCAAGATTTTACTTCAGTTGTTCAGATATCAGAAATGCTACAAAACCTTGATTTTTGTCATGATTACCAATTTCATGGTCAAATTTATGTCTATAAGGATACAACAAAAGCACACTTTAAACAAAAGGGGGTATTCTCTGGTTACACAAACTAAATAATGACTAATACTTCAAAAAGTGAACACAACTTCATGTACGTACTCCATTCTCACCACAGAACATATTGCACTTATTCAGATTACCTTCAAGGTGGTTACATTAATTAGAACACATTTTTCATCCCCCCCCCCAAAAAAAAAAATACCATTCACACTAAAGCACTTGAATACATGTTTTTAACAATAGTATTTACTACATTTTATATTTTAACTAAATTAAATGTAATTGATGTTAAGGCTATCTTTCTATGTGATACATGTACATTTGCATTTTACAATACTATTCACTTTTAAGCATTCACATTTTTATCAAAACTATCTACGATATATTCTGTCTGAATTTAAATGTAATTGATGTTAAGGCTCTCTTTCTATGTGATATTTTGCATTTTACAATACTATTCACTTTTAAGCATTAAAATACATATTTTTATCGAAACTATCTACGATATATTCCGTCTGAATTTAAATGTAATTGATGTTAAGGCTATCTTTCTATGTGATATATTTGCATTTTCCAATACTATTCACTTTTAAACACTTGAATACATGTTTTAAACATTACTATCTACGATATATTCTGTCTGAATTTAAACGTAATTGATGTATTTATGTGATACAATTGCATTTTACAATACTATTCACTTTTAAACACTTCAATACATATTTTTATCAAAACTATGTATGATATATTCGTCTGAAGTTAAATGTAATTGATGTTAAGGCTCTCTTTCCATGTGATACGTTTGCATTTTCCAATACTATTCACTTTAACACTTCAATACATGTTTTAAACATTACTATCCACGATGTATTTTGTCTGAATTTAATGTACCGGCAATTGATTTCAAGGTGATTTTTCTATGTGATACATAGTGAATACAAAGACAGGTGAATTTTACACGCATGTGCATTCTTGTTCGCTTTTCACAAAAATATAGTCACAGGCAAGGATTCTGATTCACAAACATGAAAAAGGCAAACTTCACATCAAGCAATAACAAAAATGTCCTCCTAATGTTCTCTTCTACAACGGCTCAGTTTTATAGAATAACCTTCCTAAGACAATTAGCCAAGTTAAACAACTATATAAGCAATTTTTTTTTGAAAAAAATTCTTATACCAGTACTAAAAATGTCAATGTTTATGCAATATTTGTCCTCCTTCTCTTTATTTTCTTCATCCTCCCTTTTTTGTGAATCTTGATTTTATGTAAATTATGTACCAAAGTTATTATTATTTTGTACAATTTTGTGAGGATCATTTTTAACGAGTCCTTTATGTGCTATTCATGATCCTCCCACTTCAGATATCTCATTCCATATCTTTGTATTGAAGATTTCATAATTTTGTTTTTATGTTGACATGGAAATAAATAAATGGGATGCAAAATTGACTTACAACAGGACCATTATAGCAATATATTACCAATGGCCACAGCTAGTGGCCTTATAGCAGGCAACAGGCAAGGTGTTGCATTCACAACCAGAGTCTGGCCTTCATTAATTCCACAGGTTCATACTGGTGTCACCTATTTCAAATGGAGACATTACAGTAAGTCCCACATGTACATTATCATGTAATTAAACACTCAACTCACATAGTAGTGTATGGATGTGGTGTAGTGCATTCAAGGAGGCAGTGATGTTGTGCAAACCAGGGTGATCGTCAGCAGGCTACTCTCGATAAAATATAGATCAACAGCGACTCTACTTTGAAATAGCGCAAGAAAATGATTCAGTACTGTGCGACAGGCTTCATATCCCACAATCCATTGCAATCCTGACCGATAGATAGAATTTGAACTCCAGTTTCAAAGCTTCCAACACATATGCTGCAAATGAAAAGTAAATAAAACAAAAAAAAATCAAATTAGTATGAGATCTGGGAATGAAGAATTCATCCAGTCCGCACTGTAATTGAATATTTCTTGATTTGACCAATCCCTTGCGGGAACCAATTATTCATTATACTGTATGGAGGCGGGATTCGATCTCTTGCGAACAAATGTAACATGCGACCTAAATCACCGCCTTAGACAGCTCAGCCATCCTGTCCGTGATGCTATCCTTTGCAGCTATTTCGTGTCTACATATAGTATTTAGCTCTATGATTGCGCCATAGCTTTGTCACGCAACCCAGAGGATTCAGGTTGCTTTAGCTATGTGGCAAAAACCTAAATCTAGATCTACCAGTAGAGTTTGGGTGGTAAGTTATGAATTTTATTTACAAGATTGACAAAACTTTGCCCTTCTTTTAAAAAACATAACACATAATTGTATGTAAGACATGTATTATTCTAGACAGTTACCGGGGTATTTTAAAATGTCCATCACCTTTCATTGTTGTCCCATATGTAAAAATTTGTGCCGTGTTTCATGTTTTTGAGTTGTAATTTTTTATTTTTTTTACTCTTTCGCCGCATACGCCGCACCCCGACTTTTTAATATTTTCTCTTCCAAAAATACTGCGGCCTTTACGCCGGCAAATACGGTACAAAAACTGTATAAAAATTAGAAGTTTTTAACCCTTTCGCGGCAATCATTCTAGATTTTGCGGTTTGGCTCAATAAGTTTTGACGCAGAGCCCTATGGCAGATCATTTGTATGAGTAGAAAGGGCAAACATTTCTGCACACACTGCATCCATTTTTGTTGCAGGTATTTGTTTGATGCTAGGAATTAAAAAAAAGAGGAAAATAAGCTTTAAAATCATTAAATTGGCAACATGTTGAGAGATTCAAAATCACTGATTTTTATTGAAATTTGAATTTTCTTTTCTTTTTAAGGCCAAGAGAAATGATCTCACCTTCCGTCTGTATTAGCAGTAATTGATGTGAGCTGTTTGGATCCTGACAATGACACAGTACATAGACAATCTGTAATACAAGACAAAAAGGGAAGAGGGAGGTAAAAGCATTTTAAAGAGGAGAGACGGCCATAGATAAAGAGAATGGGATATGGACACGAAGAGAGAGAGAGAGAGAGAGAGAGAGAGAGAAAGAAAGAGGGAAAGAGGGAAAACATGAGATAAAATCACAATAAAACACTTTCTTGCAACCAATGAAATTCATGATAATTCTTTGAACTTGACAAACAATTTCATCCCAAAATTTCGTTTTTTTTCTTCACCAAAGTATCTCGGTTGCCAATTTCTTTAAAAATTGTTTGTAGATCTTTTTTTGGTGATTTTTTAAGTTTTTTTTTTTTGGGGGGGGGGGGGGTGGGTGGGAATAGGGTAGTCTGTAAGCACAGACCCTATTTGACATTTCAATGCAAATCCATAAAGCCTTGAGCTTAGCCTTACTGTGTCATGCAGTCTCTGGTGAGCAGCTACAGCATTGGACCTTTGGACCGCAGTAGAATCTGTAGTCTACATGTTAAAGTCTCACAGTACAGTCACTCTGTTATGCATTATGACTGAATGCCTGCCCTTCCCCCCCCCCCCCCCCCCCCCCCCCCCCCCCCAAAAAAAAAAAAAAAAAAAAAAAAATAGTTTTTTATTATAAAAAAAAAAATTATATAAAAAAAAAAATTGCTTGACTGAAATTTCTAAAAAAACCAAAAAACATTGCGTACCTCCTGATGATTGGTCCCAGAGCTTGACAGTCTGATCATGAGAACATGTGAGAAACATGGGACTGGAATTGCTTTGTGCATGAAGGAAGCAGCAACCACTGGCAGTCTGGCTGTGACCTTTGAACTCTCGAAGGGGATCTCTCAAGCTCCTCAAGTCCCATATCTGGAATATAATATGGACACGACATGATGACAGTCAAGACATTAATAACAGTCTTTCATATTCAAGAGTTAAGAGTCGTACTTTTCGATGCTCACAACCCTGTCTACTGAAGCCATTGCTGCGAGAAAGGCAGTACCGGTACACATAGTTTCTATCTAAACTCGCATCACGTTTTAAATTCAATTCAAATACAAGAGAGTGGTACTTACCGATGTTTCACAAGCTTGTCCACTGAAGCCATTGCTGCGAGGAAGGCAGTAGGTCCCATCTGACCTCCAAAGACATCACATCTAAATTGCATTCAAATACAAGAGAGTGGTACTTACCGATGCTTCACAACCTTGTCCACTTTAATAAGCCATTGCTGCAAGAAAGGCAGTAGTTCCGATCTGAACTAACATCATATCACGTCTAAATTTCATTCAAATACAAGAGAGTGGTACATGTACTTACCGATGCTTCACAACCTTGTCCACTGAAGCCATTGCTGCAAGAAAGGCAGTAGGTCCCATCTGACCTGACATCACAACATGTCTGTATATAGCTCTTCTTGTTGGATACACTACTCTCTTCCAGTGTCCTTGTGTCCCATATTCTAAAATCAAGCACAATAAAAAATATACATCAAAAGCAGTATTAAACAAGACTCTATAACCAACTGACTAGCGGTGCACAGGTAGAGTTATGGACTCATCAAAAATCTGTCTGAATATATTTAGGCATTAATCAACGATTCAATCTCAACCAGCCCAGATGTATCTATACATAACGTCTGATAATTAGCATTATCACTGATTGAGAAATTGTATTCTTACACAATTTACTTCAAGAAAGAGTGTCAGAAAACAACAGAAAAGCATGATGTCAAAACCCTTCAAGTCATTGACAGAAAGCCAATTAATATGGTTATAAGTTTTAGGTTTCAAAGCTTGATGGTGTTATAGCGGAAAGATGTGCTTTTGTGATACTGACAGCCCTCTGTCCTGAAATCTCTGTGCTCCAACACTTGGATCATGATCTAGGAGGGGGAGGGGGGGGGGGGTGGGGTTGGATGTCTCACTGAGGATTGTACTATGGACCTTAGAAACCTTAGGATTTTTTTCATCCCCAGGCGGGTAATTCTTGTATAACATTTATAAGGTTGTCAAAAACAGAAGAAAAAAAAGGAAAAAAGGGTATGTAATCCGCTGGTGATAAGAAGATACAGTCAAACCTGTCTACAGCGACCACCCAAGGGAAACACAAAAAGTGGCCTTTGTAGACAGGTTCCCTTAGCACATGATTCAATGAGAAACTATTTTCAAGGGAAACAACAAATGTGGTCTTTGAAGACAGGTGGTCACCAAAGCAGGTTTGACTGTACATGGAAAGGGTAGGAAATTTCATAGCCGCAGACAGGAGCGGAGGGTCTGAAAGGATTTTAAAATCCGATGGAAATTTTCCCCTCTTCTCACCTGATTGACTTGTCTTCGCTGGACTGTATTACCATCTCTGTCCTGGGTATTGTCACCATGTGTGTCACTAGATTGCGTGAGGTTGTGACTTCTTTGATGCACCCACCTGTCTCTGTGTCCCACAGTCTGACCGAGTTATCCCGCCCTCCTGTGCATAACCGTCTTGAAACATCCACTGTACAATACCAGATTTTTTTTATTTAAAGGGGTAAAAATTGAGAAATTAGACTCCCTACACAAGAAACCACACAAATAGTTTTTTATTTGCCTAACTAGGCAATTTGAGATTTTCACCACTCGCCCTTACCCTGAATGGACAGGAACCCATATTTAGTTGCCCTAATTGATTCCAAATACAGTCAAACCTGTCTATAGCGACCATCCAAGGGAAACACAAAAAGTGGTCTTTGTAGACAGGTTCCTTTAGTACATGTTTCAATGAGAAACCATTTTCAAGAGGAAAAAAATGTGGTCTTTGTAGGAAAGGTAGTCACTAAAGCAGGTTTGACTGTACATCAATGAAGGTGGTCAGCAAGGCCATTTGAAATATAAACCCCTCAAAACAATTCTGCAATTCAAGTTTGAGCATTTATATCTCTCTTGTTACTGTCTTATCATACTTCATAAATAATAATAATAATAATAGTGGGTTCTTGTATAGCGCTCATGTCAGTCAGATTTGACCTTCCTGGCGCTCCTGATTATTACTCTGGCTTTAGCACGGCTGCCATACGGCGCTCTAGCATTTCAAGGAATAAATTCCTACCAGGTACCCATTTACTTCATTAAAAAGGCTGTTTATTCCCCTTTATAATGATGGCCTATTTGTAATAAATATGTAATCATGGAACGTGCTGTACACCTAAAAATGGGGCCAAGTCAAAAATGAAATGTTACAAAATACGTTGTTATTGTCAATCAGGAATTCTTCATTTGCTTGGAGGATGGAATGTGTTTTGAAGGAATAAGGATGCATTTTGAAACATTTTACTTTTGACTTGGCCTCATATTCAGTCGTGTTGCATATAATATTCATACCTGAAGCAAGTCCATTGACCACTAGATTATGGCCGACAAAAGTAAGAATGGCCTCGTTGACTGTGGTGCCTGCAGCTCCCTCTCTTGTCCACATCTTGGCAGTCTTGTCCCTTGATCCACTGAACACACGATCCAAAGCCTGAGAATAGGCAACCTTTAAGAACAGAAGAGAGAAGGTCAAAAGTAGCTTAAAAGTAATATATGGTATTTGGTATGGGGTCATGAATTTTGTTCAAATGAACATATTGGAAGCATATGCGATTTTACACTATTCAATGATCGTTGTAGCGGTTGAAATCAAGTCTAAAGTGATGAAATTGTAATTAATAAACTCCTTATGTTGTATAGCTCCCTCTCAAGACTGATATTACCAAAGCTTTAAAACAACGTTTCATGACTACAATTGACCGATTTGCAATTATTGGAAATTGTATCTATCAGAGCTGCATACTCTGAGATTTTCATGGTCGCAGCTACCATGGAAGGGTCAATGTCGCTATTCATAAGGACCGCTATTCATAAGGTCCGCTATTCATAAGGTCCACTATTCATAAGGACCGCTATTCATAAGGTCCGCTTTTCATAATTGGAGAAAAGGGTCATTATTCATAAGGGTCATTATTCAGAAGGACCGCTATTCATATTCAAAGAAGAGGGTCGGTATTCATAATAGGAGAAGAGGGTCGCTATTCATAATACGACATGAGGGTCGCTATTCATAAGGGTCCCTATTCATAATATTACAAAAGGGTCGGTATTCATAACACAGAAAGAGGGTCGCTATTCATAATACGAAATGAGGGTCGCTATTCATAAGGGTCATTATTCATAAGGGTCATTATTCATAATCAATGAAAAGGGTCGCTATTCATAATAGGAGAAGAGGGTCGCTATTCATAATACGACGTGAGGATCGCTATTCATAATAGGAGAAGAGGGTTGCTATTCATAATAGGAGAAGAGGGTCGCTATTCATAATACGACATGAGGGTCGCTATTCATAATAGGAGAAGAGGGTCGCTATTCATAATAGGAGAAGAGGGTCGCTGTTCATAATAGGAGAAGAGGGTCGCTATTCATAATAGGAGAAGAGGGTCGCTATTCATAATAGGAAATGAGGGTCGCTATTCATAATACGACATGAGGGTCGCTATTCATAATAGGAGAAGAGGGTCGCTATTCATAATACGAAATGAGGTTCGCTATTCATAATAGGAGTAGGGGGTCGCTATTCATAATACGAAATGAGGGTCGCTATTCATAATGGGAGAAGAGGGTCGCTATTCATAATAGGAGTAGAGGGTTGCTATTCATAATACAAAATGAGGGTCGCTATTCATAATAAGAAATGAGGGTCGCTATTCATAATAGGAGAAGAGGGTCGCTATTCATAAAAGAGTAGAGGGTTGCTATTCATAATACAAAATGAGGGTCGCTATTCATAATAAGAAATGAGGGTCGCTATTCATAATAGGAGAAGAGGGTCGCTATTCATAAAAGAGTAGAGGGTTGCTATTCATAATACAAAATGAGGGTCGCTATTCATAATAAGAAATGAGGGTCGCTATTCATAATAGGAGAAGAGGGTCGCTATTCATAAAAGAGTTGAGGGTTGCTATTCATAATACCCCCCCCCCCTATTCGCCGCGCAAAAAAAGAGGGAAAAAGAAGAGAAGAAAAAAAAGGAGAAGCAAAAGAAAGGAGAAGAAAAAGAAAAGAGAAGAGAAGAGACAAGAAAGAAGAGAAAAGAAACACAGAGAGAGGGTAAAAGGAAAGCCCCCCCCCCCCTCCCTCCCACTCCGGGGTCGGAGGGACCGAATTCGTGTTCCCAAAATCTCCGGTAAAGGAGTACTTTTCACGCAACAAAGTCCGGCCCGTAATACACACAAATCTGGCCCGTACTGACTTTACACACCGGAGATAGAGGGATGCTTTCAAAGAGAGGGAAATGCGTACGCGTACTCTAGATAACACTGAGTGGGGGGGGGGGGGGGGGGGGGGGGGAAGTCGGGTGAAAAAGGTGGAAAGACAAGGAAATGGCGCTTAGTGACAGTAACTTTCGAGCCACGGAATCAAAGTTAAACGTTAAAAAAGCCCCTGCGATGCAAAGTCAATTTTGTAATTAACGGTAGGGGGGCCGCTTCTCTTATTTTGCCCTTCATTTGGCTTCAGCTCATATAAACTCGCTTGAGCTTGTATTTGAGCTCATGTTGGTAGTAATCATGGACAGGGGCGGCAATCCTGGGCCCGATAGGAGGACACGTCCCCCATGAAATTTAGAAATATAGCTAGAAAGATATATAGCATTCAACATTGCAAAGTTTTGCTTGGTCGCTACGCCCCCTCGCCCAATAACACAAAACTATGTATGATATGACACTCGGCCCACGCTCCCGGCCGTGATTTATCCATGGTTGTTGCAATAATTTTTATTATTTACTATTTCTACTAACATTATTGTGTGCTATCACAATCATGATTGTTTCATTTTCCCTTTAAAGCAGGCGCGTAGCCAGAGTCGAGAATGGAACAACGAATCGTCTTCTTTCTCTAATAATTTCATTAAACTATGAAAGGTCAAAGCTTCCGCGCTTTGCGCGGGAGGGGGTGGGGGAACTCAAATCAGACAAAGAAAAAGGGTCGAGAATGGTACAACTAATCGTCTTCTTTCTCTAATAATTTCATTAAACTATGAAAGGTCAAAGCTTACCCGCTTTGCGCAAGAGGGGATGGGGGTGGGAACTGAATTCAGAGAAGGATTAATAATCAAGAATGGTACAATAAATCGTCTTCTTTTTATAATAATTAATGAAAGTTCAAAGCTTTCGCGCGTAATGGGTGTGGGGGGGGGGGGAACAGCGAGCTGCCCGAATATGAATTTTTGATATCTTTTCTCGTTTATCTTGGTGATAAATAACACTTTCACAAAATACATATTATGCTCAAATTTTTGCTCGCTCGTTTCGCTCACTAGCCGAATTGTGAACTAGAAAAATCCCTTTTCGGGCAAGAGGCTTTAGCCCCCACCCCCACCCCCCCCCCCCCCCGATGAAAATGTCAAAAAAAAATGTATATCTTAAAAACGGGGAATGTTTATATCGGACAAGAGACGTTAAGTGAGCTTGCCCCCCTTTCCAAAATTGTGCCTGCTTGTAGGTACCGGTATTGTGCTTCTTATATGACCTTGTCAGTATTGGTATGTTGAGTTGAAAAAATGGTCTGCGCATTTTTCAAATTTCCGTTCCCCCCCTATTGGAAAATTCTTGATCCGCGACCCTCATTTCGTATTATGAATAGCGAACCTCTTCTCCTATTATGAATAGCGACCCTCTTCTCCTATTATGAATAGCGACCCTCTTCTCCTATTATGAATTGAATAGCAACCCTCTTCTCCTATTATGAATAGCGACCCCCTTCTCCTATTATGAATAGCGACCCTCTTCTCCTATTATGAATAGCGACCCTCTTCTCCTATTATGAATAGCGACCCTCTTCTCCTATTATGAATAGCGACCCTCTTCTCCTATTATGAATAGCGACCCTCTTCTCCTATTATGAATAGCGACCCTCTTCTCCTATTATGAATAGCGACCCTCTTCTCCTATTATGAATAGCGACCCTCTTCTCCTATTATGAATAGCGACCCTCTTCTCCTATTATGAATAGCGACCCCCTTCTCCTATTATGAATAGCGACCCTCTTCTCCTATTATGAAAAGCGAACCTCATTTCGTATTATGAATAGCGACCCTCTTCCCGTGTTATGAATAGCGACCCTTATAAGTAATGAACCTTGTTTCGTATTATGAATAGCGACCCTCTTCTCCTATTATGAATAGCGACCCTCATTTCGTATTATGAATAGCGGTCCTTATGATTAATGACCCTTAATATGAATTATGAATAGCGACCCTCATCTCACGTTATGAATAGCGGTCCTTATGATTAACGAACCTTATTTCTTTATGAATAGCGACCCTCTTCTCCTATTATGAATAGCGACCCCCTTCTCCTATTATGAATAGCGACCCTCTTCTCCTATTATGAATAGCGAACCTCATTTCGTATTATGAATAGCGACCCTCTTCCCGTGTTATGAATAGCGACCCTTATAAGTAATGAACCTTGTTTCGTATTATGAATAGCAACCCTCTTCTCCTATTATGAATAGCGACCCTCATTTCGTATTATGAATAGCGGTCCTTATGATTAATGACCCTTAATATGAATTATGAATAGCGACCCTCATCTCACGTTATGAATAGCGGTCCTTATGATTAACGAACTTTATTTCTTTATGAATAGCGACCCTCTTCTCCTATTATGAATAGCGACCCTCTTCTCCTATTATGAATTGAATAGCAACCCTCTTCTCCTATTATGAATAGCGACCCCCTTCTCCTATTATGAATAGCGACCCTCTTCTCCTATTATGAATAGCGACCCTCTTCTCCTATTATGAATAGCGACCCTCTTCTCCTATTATGAATAGCGACCCTCTTCTCCTATTATGAATAGCGACCCTCTTCTCCTATTATGAATAGCGACCCTCTTCTCCTATTATGAATAGCGACCCTCTTCTCCTATTATGAATAGCGACCCTCTTCTCCTATTATGAATAGCGACCCTCTTCTCCTATTATGAATAGCGACCCTCTTCTCCTATTATGAATAGCGACCCTCTTCTCCTATTATGAATAGCGATCCTCATTTCGTATTATGAATAGCGACCCTCTTCTCCTATTATGTATAGCGACCCTCTTCTCCTATTATGAATAGCGACCCCCTTCTCCTATTATGAATAGCGGCCCTCTTCTCCTATTATGAATAGCGACCCTCTTCTCCTATTATGAATAGCGACCCTCTTCTCCTATTATGAATAGCGACCCTCTTCTCCTATTATGAATAGCGACCCTCTTCTCCTATTATGAATAGCGACCCTCTTCTCCTATTATGAATAGCGACCCCCTTCTCCTATTATGAATAGCGACCCTCTTCTCCTATTATGAAAAGCGAACCTCATTTCGTATTATGAATAGCGACCCTCTTCCCGTGTTATGAATAGCGACCCTTATAAGTAATGAACCTTGTTTCGTATTATGAATAGCGACCCTCTTCTCCTATTATGAATAGCGACCCTCATTTCGTATTATGAA